TCATCTCTTGTCACCCCCTTCCCCTGTCCTCAATCTTTCCCAGCCCCAGGGTTTTTCCCCAGTGAGTTGGCTCTTCACATCAGGTAACCAAAGTACTGGAGCTTCAGCCTCAGCATCAGTCCTTCCAATGAATATTCAGGGTTGATTTCCTTTAGGATTGACTGGTTTGATATCCTTGGTGTCCAAGGGACTCTCAAGAGTCTTGTTCAGCACCACAGTTCAAAAATATCAATTCTTCAACAGTTATCCTTCTTTGTGGTCCAACTTTCATATCCATACATGGAAAAACCAAAACTTTGACTATGTGGACCTTTGTCGGCAAAGTGATAGCTCTGCTTTCTAATATGCTGTTTAGGTTTGTCATAGCTTTTCTTCCAAGGAGCAAGCATCTTTTAATTTCATGGCTGTAGTCACCACTTACTGTAATTTTGGAGCCCAAGAAAATCTGTCATCATCTCCATTTTTTCCCCCATCTGTTTGCCATGATGAAGTGATAGGACCAGATGCCATGATCTTAGTTTTTTGAACATTGAGTTTTAAGCCAGCTTTTTCACTCTCCTCTTTCACCCTCATCAAGAGGCTCTTTAATTTCTCTTCTCTTCCTGTCATTAGAGTGGTATCATCTAGTAGACTGCTGCTGCTAGCTTACAACCTAAGACTCTACTCCACAATTTGCCAATTGTTTTATATATTAACGAATCCATCATATCTCCACCAGCACTGAATCCCAAGTCAAGTCTGAGCCTTTAAATTCCCAGAATGCCTCCTAGACACAGAAAAAAGTAGAACAAGAAATGAACAAAATCAAAGAAGCTGACTCTGAAGAGCAGCCTCCTCTATAACAGGACACTTGAGAAGGCCTTTGATTTAAAATTGGCCTCTGTTCCTTTAAGAAACTTCTCTAGTTCCGTCCCTCTTCAAAATGGATGATTGATCACCAGTGGAAACCTAATTACCAATTAATCAGTTACTATTGAATTGATGATACATCTCAGTTATCTGCTACTCCTCAGAGCAATCTATAGCACTTTAGTGAAGAAAAGCTTCTAATTAAATAGTGAAAGAGTACTCACTAATATATATCAAAAATGTCTAGAACTAGACCATCTTATTAACTATAAGTCATAACTTTAGCATCTCTGAGACCCTCTGTTCACTAATTTTTCACCATTTAAAATAAAAATGTAGTTGTTGCTATAAAAAACAGCACATTAGGTTATATTTAACCATAAAAGTTAATAGATGTAAGAACTTTGCATTCTGTGTGACATAGTTTGACATTATGGAGTAAGGTTATTTTACATGTTGTTTTTTAATCGTGTCCAACTGTTTTGTGCCTCCCATGGACTGTAGCCCTCGAGGCTCCTCTGTTCATGGGATTTCCCAGGCAAGAATACTAGAGTGGTTTTTCATTTCCTTCTCCAGGGGATGTTCCTAACCCAGGGATCGAATCTACATCTCCTGCATTGGCAGGCGGTTTTTTTTAACCACTGCGCCACCAGGGAAGCCTATTTTACATAAGGGTACTTAAATTTTTTATTTCAGTTTGTTCTTAAACACTTAGTTGGTTTGCAATATACTATAACAACTTTCTGATTATGAAAAATACAATAGGACAATAATAGAAAATCTGTATAATCTTTAAATCACTTTCCTGGACTTGTAGCCACATACAAAGATGTGTAAAACAGGACTTTTTCTCTTTCTTCCAAGTTAGGCTTTGCTTTACTTATACACCTTTTTGCCCGTTATCTGCCTCCGAGTTAGCAGTTTGCAGTCATTTTGTCAGGACAGTCAGAGTCAGTCTCTCCATTTGTCTCTTGTAAACTCTTAAACTACCCCCATACCTGAAAAAGAAAAAATAGCTTTAGTAATTTGGTTCATATCTCCACACTCATTCCCCATCTACCCATAATTGATTTACTTACTTGTTCATTCATTCAATTAATATTTATTAAACATCAACTGTGTGTGGCAGTTCATCTACTACTAACAGTACAGTAGTAAATAAGCAGTCTCTGATCATAGGAAGCCACTTGGGAAGTCTCACATCACTCATAGATCACAAAAACAAATAGTGGTTGGAGCTGTAAGTGCCATTTCACATAGGTAAATGGTATTATGGCAGTCTGTCATAGAAGCATTTGACCTCAATCTTGAGATCAGGGTAGACATTTTGAAGAATTGATGACAGAGATCCGAAGGAGGTATAGGAGTTACCAAGGTGAATGGAGGTGGAACAAGCACAAGGAACAGCATGTTCAGAGACTCTGTAGGAGGACATTTGGCTTATTTGGAGACCTGAAAGAAGGCCAGCTCACTGGCGCATAGGGAGCAAGGAAGAAAACAATGCAGGCTGAGTCTGGAGAATTTGAACAGGGGCCGGATGAGGCAGGATCCAACCAGGCATGTTAAAAATATTGTCCTTGAGCCTAAGAGCAATGGGGAAATGCTAAGCATTTTAAGCAGAGTGACGTGATGAGATATGTGGTTTAAAATGAAAACTTGGCTGCAGTGTGGAGAATGGATCTAGAAAGAGGTTGAATGAGATTGGATTGGTCAGGTCCAGTTAAGCCATTCTCATAGTCCTGGATAGAGATGGGGGTACCTTGGATGAAGTTGCCATGGTGGAGATAGAGAAAACTGGATGGACCCAGGAGATATTTAGAAAGTGCCATTGATGGGACTTGGCAGTAGACTGTTTATGGGGAGGAATCAGGGATGACACTTGAATTTCTGACTTGTGCACCTGGAGAAATGGTGGAGCCATTTGCTGGGATATACTGTATCATGAGATCAGGCAAGGAGGATTGTTGTTTCTGCTTTGGTCCTGTTGAGCTTGAAGTCTCTGAGACATCTGAATGCCAGTTTCGTAGGCGGTTTGATAAATGTACAGTCAGCTCAGAGGAGCAGTGTAGCCTGGAGGCAGATACATGAGTGTCACCTAAAAAGAATAAAACATATCCTGGGTAGAGAGTGTCAAGAGTGAGCAGCGGAACAGCCCTGGGATGGAGCCTTGAGAAACCCTAACATTGCTAGGCAAGCATGGATGGTCCTGCAGAGGAAACAAATGATACAGTTTGAAAAGTAGTATTAGAAGGGAAAGTAGTATGTCAAGGCTGTATATTGTCACCCTGCTTATTTAACTTATATGCAGAGTACATCATGAGAAATGCTGGACTGGATGAAACACAAACTGGAATCAAAATTGCTGGGAGAAATATCAATAACCTCAGATATGCAGATGACACCACCTTTATGGCAGAAAGCAAAGAAGAACTAAAGAGCCTCTTGATGAAAGTGAAAGAGGAGAGTGACATAGTTGGCTTAAACCTCAATATTCAGAAAACTGAGATCATGGCATCTGTTCCCATCACTTCATGGCAAGTGGATGGTAAACAATGGAAACAGTGAGAGACTTTATTTTGGAGGGCTCCAAAATCACTGCAGATGGCGACTGCAGCCATGAAGTTAAAAGACCCTTGCTCCTTGGAAGGAAAGTCATGGCCAACCTAGACAGCATTTTAAAAAGCAGAGACATCACTTTGCCAACAAAGGTCCACCTAGTCAAAGCTATGGTTTTTCCAGTAGTCATGTATGGATGTGAGAGTTTGACTGTAAAGAAAGCTGAGCATCGAAGAATTGATGCCTTTGAACTCTGGTGTTGGAAAAGACTCTTGAGAGTCCCTTGGACAGCAAGGAGATCCAACCAGTCCGTCCTAAAGGAGATCAGTCCTGGGTGTTCATTGGAAGGACTGATGTTGAAGCTGAAACTCCAATAATTTGGCCACCTGATGCGAAGAGCTGACTCATTTGAAAAGACCCTGATGCTGGGAAAGATTGAGAGCAGGAAGAGAAGGGGACGACAGAGGATGAGATGGTTGGATGGCATCACCAACTCGATGGACATGAGTTTGGGTGGACTTCAGGGGTTGGTGATGGACAGGGAGGCCTGGTGTGCTGTGATTCATGGGGTCGCAAAGAGTCGGACACAACTGAGCGACTGAACTGAAAACATTTGATGTATAACTTTTGCATTTTTTGAGCCTTTTGCCATAATGAGGACAACTTTTCTGTGTTCTCTGTACTGGGTTCTTTTATAAGAGATTTCTGTAACTAGCTCATTTAATCTTTACAGCAGCTCTGTAAGGTAGGTGCATTTCTGTAATTTTCTCAGTTTTACAAATGGAAGGACTGAAACAGAAGTAACATGAATTTCACAAACATATTATAGATAATTGGCTGTATGGTGCAGGCACCTGGGTCTGGGGTTGGTTCTCTGCTGCTTTCCCATGAATTATCTATAAATCATCACTCCTCACCACCTCACTGTACACAAAGGCACACAGTTTAAAATATAGTGTCCCAGTGTGACTCCCACATTTATGATTATTCCAGTTGATATCCATCTCATTGGACTTTCCTGCTAGAAGCATTGCCTTTATGTCCAGTCCTGAGACATTCATAGTTTTGTTTTTCTCCTACTAGCGCCCGCTGAAGTCCGTTTTTATGTACTTACATGTGGAACTGTGGTACAAACTGTGATAAGATCTGACCCTGGTTTTAGAAAGTCAGAGTGCAAGTATTGCTCCATCGTGTCTGACTCTGCGACCCCATGGACTGTAGCCCACCAGGCTCCTCTGTCCATGGGATTCTCCAGGCAAGAATACTCAAGTGGATTGCTATTCCCTTTGCCAGGAGATCTTCCTGACCCAGAGTTCAAGCCCAGGGTCTCCTGCATTGCAGGCAGATTCTTTAACATCTGAGCCACCAAGGAAGCCGTAGTTTTTGAGTCTGTGTATATACAACAGCACTTGCTGATACTGAAGTCATTTAGATCACTGGAACTGTTTCTGCCTATCTGGGGCTATATGTCCATTTGCAGATTGTCTGTTATCCTTGCCATTCCCTCTAACCTCTGAAAAGACACCCCAGAAAGTTTCTTAACAGCTTGCTCACATCTGGACTCACATTAATTCTATGACCATATTTTATTCCAGACACTTTTGAGAAATTCATCAGGATGTGAAGTGCGCAATGATGAATATCGAACGGAGTTTACCACAGCTTTGCCGCGCGTTGACTTATTCATGGGCCAGTTCAACCAAGTCCTCTTAACATCTATATCCACCTTTATCAAAGGAGATCTCACTATCGCTAATCTCGGGACGTCAGAGGGTCGATTCATGCAGGTACATACTTTCTGAGAGTGGTTGTGTCTGTTTTATCCAGTGTCATACAATTAATTTGCTTCTCTTTTTACAGTAAGGTTTTGGCAAATACTGTAAAGTGAAAATCACAGTGGAAGCTAGAGACACAGACTGAAAGCAAAACAATGAAGCCTAGTCCCTTTCTTGATGTATATGACCTCTTTTTGTTAAATTCTTAAAGCTTTCAGTTTAAATGTGGTTGCTTTAATTTTCTTGCCTGGAACAGTTTGAGGTTTTCTTTTCCATTCATGATTTAAATCACATGATTGGAAAATAAAATGAAACAATTAAAGCACTCCCAGGCGATGTTTTCCTATTTCAGGGGAAGCTACGAATCAAAGGAGAGCTATTGTGTGAACCGTGCGTCTCCATGAGAGGAAACATTCACATCATTGAGAAATATTGGCAGGCGTTAGGAAGGGACGTTATCATCAGAATCCCATTGTAACTCCAGCTCTTCTGATTCTGCAAAATGATGGGGTCAGACACAAAGAAGTGCAAACACTGGGGGAAGAAAGATCCAGATTTTGTTAAGAAATGCTTTTAATGGATAGCAACAGTGATCCCATACAGTGAAAGTTCACATTTCAGAGTCGCAGTTGTCATGTCTCCTAGATACAAATACCCTAGCACTTTGCAGAAATTAAGATGCTTTCATGTTGGGTCTGTTTTACTGTTTTAATAGTTATTGGTAGTGCTTTCAACATGAGTTCATTAGTAGATTCTTGGTTAATGCACAGTGACGATGGTATCTATGGAAATGTTGACTTTCCACAAAGACTAGAAATTTCTTTAAAAGGGAGATATTTATTTCGACATAATTAACATCCTGGTCAGGAAATGACTGTAAAGCAATTGAAGATGATGATGTTTTCCTATGACTTGCTCATTTGTACATTCTCTATCTATATTCTTTAACAAAACATATTTTTAAAAACTACCACTGTCTTTATAGCGGTCTGGATATGCATCAAATGTTCTTGTACTAGTGGGCCTGGTGGAATTTTTGCAAAATCATAAAACATGTAAATAAAACTTTCCCACTTCACAACGAATCATATAGATCTAAATGATTCCACACTTGGTCTCCCCTCCTCACACTGCTTCACAATTAACTATGCTTTTTCTTCCTTGCTCCCTCTCTCCCAGTGCAGTGTTCCTATTTACCCACTTCAAACCATTTAATTCTGTCCTCAAAATGTTAAGGAGAGATGCCCAGCCCCATCCCACACAGACAAGCACTCTTAACAAATTTGAAATATGGTCATATCTACTATCCTTGTAGAATGTGTGTTTTTATCTGGTGTTTATATGTGTTTTTAGTTGATATTGATATTATTCTAGAGAATTCCAAGAAAAATCTGAAGAATGACTGAAGCTAGCATCTATTGAATTCGTACTGGCTTCCCTATGTTCATTTGCCTCCTTTTATCTTTTTTTCTGCTTTCGTTTTTTTATTTTGTGTATTACCTCACCAATCCGGTTGCATATTAATAAGCTTTCTACAGTCACTTTAGGTCTGACACTTTTTCACATCACAAGGTTCCTGGCCTATTTCCAGCTTCTGAAGTTCTAATAAAATTCCATTTTTGTATAGATTGCTTTAATAACTGAGTAAATTCTTCTGTGTGACAGATTTCAGATTTCACCAAGTGGTATGTTATATATATATCAGTTTCATTAGAATAGAAATGCTGTAACAAATGTTTTATTCTTATCTCCGATCATTTTCATCAAAGAAGCTATAGTATACCTGTGTATCCATAACACCAAAGATGAAAATCAGTATTTAAATAAATACTTTTCTTATGAAAAGCACTGATATCCTTGATTTTTTTAAAGCCAAAGATGAAAATCAGTATTTAAATAAATACTTTTCTTATGAAAAGCACTGATATCTTTGATTTTTTGAAAGCAGGTAACTCTCAAGTCATTCCTTATATATCAGGAACATACTAACTATGCTTTACTAGGCAAATAAGTGAGGCAACAGAAGTTGTGGCAGAGAACCTTCCTCTGAAGAACTAAATTTTTAGTAGGGGAGATAGAAACATGTACCTGATACCTAGAGAAAACAAAGACATAAAAGGCACAAGGCTATTGAGACTCACCGAGAGAGGATCTGTTTCTCTGCCACTTGCCTAAGAGAATTCCATTTGGTAAAATTTTATGTAAATAATCCTAAACCATTTAAAGGATCAAAGAATCACCAGCACTAAAATCCAATTTGTTTACAGCAAATAATGTTGGAGATGGAGTCAGGAGTACAGCAGAAACTTGGGGACCATCCAGCCTAATCTATCCAAGCAGTGACTTAACTTCTGTAAATGTTTTGACTGCGCTGAAGTGCTGAATCTGTGGCCAAGCCTAAGTTTCTACAATCCATGTTTCAATAATACTATGAAGTTTCTGTTACAAAATAGAAGGGACATAATTTTTTTCCCCAAAGACAGCTGCCATACATGAAAAGGAACAGAAGAATGATTTTACTTCCTTCCTACCCTGAAGCCTAAAGGCAAAGTTGCTTTGCAAATGTTTTCTCCCAAGAGTTTGCAGCTGTTTCTGCCTTTCCTATTGTGCTTATGTTCAGCTCTGGCTGGGAATACAAGCTTCAGCTCCAGCTGTTGGGTGCAAAGTGAATCAGGTATTTCACAGTGGTTATTTGATTAGCAAGACTTATATTGTTTAGCTAACAACATTATATGTATGGAAGAGAAGACATTTTTGACATGTTTCTAACATTTAAGCATGTAACTTATCTCATACAGGTGCAGCTATGTCTAAATATACTAATGTGTACATATATTCCAGTCTATCTGTAGAGCCAAGTCAATGTAGATCTAGATTTCAAAAACAGTTTTTATTTGTGTGATTGCTCTCTTGGGATGCTTTGAAGTAAAATAATATGATAAACAATGTTGGAGATAGTGTAAGTAAACAGTAAGAACAGGGCTTCTTACAAGTTGTGAAGGGGGTGGGGATGTAGAAAAGAACAAGGCTGGAGAACATGAGAACAGAGTGCAGGGCTACGTGGGAGAGGGAAGCGGGATACTCATGAAGATCACAGGACTAATCACAGGGATTGCCCACATCTCCCCTTCTGAGCTCCTCGTCTAATCTACATCCAAAAACAATGCTTGCTTGATTTTTTTTTTTACAGCACTTATATAAGGCCTTTAATCTCTAGATGCAAGCATTGCTATTAAAATATTTGTGCATGACTGTCAGGCCAGGAGTGAGTGGATGGGGATGGGCTAGAGGTGGGGACGCACTTTCCAGACTTTTTGCAAGTTCATCTCCACATTCACTGGCTTGTCTGCATACAGTGGCCACTGCCTGAGCGCCGTCATAGATGTCGTTAGATTCTTTGGTATCATCCTTCTCTTCCCCCATCCCCCTTTCTGTGATGCTGTTACCACCCATAAGCCCTTTTCTCTTAACTGGACTGGTTGGTCTTAAGCAAGAAAGTTCAAGAGGTAGGGATCACCTAAAAAGACATCCTTAGCTAATGGTCATTACTTACAACCATTACCTAAAGGATTCTGTTAGTAATCAGTGAACCTGAGAGTAATTACTCACTTCCAGTAAGAAGAATCTATTTATTTATTGACCTGCTGTCTCCAAATTCCTTCGGTTCCTGTGCCACCATCATGGTATTTCAGTGCTTTGTGTTGAAGCCTGCAGCATGTTACATTTGGGATTACTGCTATTTTAGACTATGTAGACACAGATCATCAACTCATCAATGCTGTGAGCAGCCTGCAGGGACACAGCCAAACGAAGTCTGAACTTCCACATTCTCTTCAGAGATTGCTGACTTAACTATCTCCTTTATAAAATGATCAAATAAAAATATCATCTGCCTTTTTTTTTTAAGGCATACATCATTAATTTACTTACATCTATAAAGAACAGTAACTTTGGTATATTTCTTTAGAAGAAAATATGTTTCATGGATTCTGAGATTTCTTCTGTGAGGAAAAAAACATCTATTGTAAATAATAATTACAGAGTTATATCCATAGCAAAAAATTAAGCCTAGTTCGTATATAGTCTCCTAAAATGAATTAATGCATGATCTTGAAATACATACAGCTTATAAATTGTTATAGTATAGAAATTTAAAACATCATAAGTATTTGAAACATTGGAAAATGCTAACCATTTTTTTTTTTTAGTAGCAGGGAATAACTGGAATTTCTTATTTAGGTGCTTACTTAAAAGAAATAGAGAGGCATTTTAAAATGAAATATATTTATCATTAGCCTTTTTGAAATTCAGATAGATATACTCTGTGTATAGATTGACTAATCCTATAGTCATTATATTTGAAATACTGATTTAAAAGTTTTGGATTTTTAAAATTGTTACCTATTTCTTAGGTGCTTGGTCTCAATTTGGTCTTGACTCATTTCGACTCACTTTGACTCATTTCAAAAAGTTGAGACACACACATTGATGTTACAATCATAAAGAAAATTGCTATTTGTACATATCCTGGCCTTTGCAGTGTCAGGTTGGTAGAGAAACACGTGTGCCTGTTTACCAAAAAGAGTGACAGAACAAAGCAAAGTTTCATTTAATTCAACTTTTGCTGCCTGGTACTTTGTCTTAATACTTCTAATTTTAAGTTGTCAGCACCAATCAGTGATTTCCACTTCTTACGTTTCATTTTTTTGGTTCTAGAAAGCTCAGTGTTTACCTTGGTTGAAACAAAGCTCTTCGTATCTGATTCCTTTCTAGACAAATATCAATTTCTTTCACATACTTAAGATATAAACCTATTGCTGGTGTTTTAGTCAGTTTGGGCTGCTATAACCAATTAACATACTAGGTGGCTTTAAAAAACAAACATTTATTTCTCAGAATTCTGTAGGCTGGGAATTCCAAGATCAAGGTGCCAGCAGATGTGGTGTCTAGTGAGAGTCTGCTTTCTGGTCCAGATTGCTGTGTACTCATATGGTGGAAAGAGGGCAAGAGAACTCTGTGGGATCCCATTTATAGAGCATTAATTGTCAACACAGTAGAAACTCAAAATATAATTGCTGGTCTTCTATTTCTTACTAATTGTTCTAAGACTACCAGGTGATTTATCATAAGAATTAAATTTAAATGCTGGATTTTGTTCTGTCCTTAGAAATATCTCCATGACAACCAAAAGGAACTCCTTATTTCTTGCAAACATTGCTTCAGGAGTATTTTGAGAGTTAAAGTGGTTACCCAATTACTTAGAATTTTGGCAAGAAGAGAAAGTGAGGAGTTAATGACAGAAATGCATTCATGGCATTTTATAGCAATAGGTATCCTTCCAGAGAAAGGGCTAATGATCAACTGAAAAGGTATTTGCATCTGTGACATGATCTCTGCTTGAAACTCCAGGCAGTCATCTCACTTTTCCCCAGCCTTCCTGTCTTCTCTGTTTCATCTCATTTTTTATACCAAGCCACACTCATCCTAGTTCATGATCAAAAGTTGAACTTGTCGGCTGTACTAATACCATTTCCTCTGTGCTATCAGAAACTATTTAGATATGGAGTCTTTCTCTTTAGGCACGCTTAACTTGTGCGGCCAAGATTACTGAAACAAGGAGTATTTGGCAAGGCAAATATATTGTGAAATTTGTTTTAATGCTTTGACTCACAAGTGGCTCTTGGGAGCTCAGAGTTGAAGTTTTTTATTGGTGTTTACTCTGGTGCTCCAAGAGTATATTTGAGTGTTTAAGAAGAGGTCAAGCAAACAGTTTCTGGCATGAGAGAAAGTTCCTTGGAAACCTGACTTGTATTTTCTAGCTAAAATTCTCTATCATATTTTCTTTATGGAAAATAATAGTACCTACCCTTTGGCTTATTGTGAAACAAAATACCTGTTTAAAGCACTTAATACAATGCCTGGCTCAGTACCCATCATATACGGTGTTCTCCAGGTAAAGAGTCTTAACAGATAATGAACCAAATCAATCTATCCAAGTTCCAGCGGTGCGAAGAGCATCTTTGTGAAAAGAGAAATATTAATTCTTTCTGGGAAATGGCTATTTGAATGGGCTTCAGATATTTAATAAAGTCAAGGGTAAGTGTTAGTTGCTGAGTCGTCTCTGACTCTTTGGGACTCCATGGACTGTAGCCTGCCAGGCTCCTCTCTTCATGGATTTCTCCAGGCGAGAATACTGGAGTGGATAGCCATTCCCTTCTCCAGGAGATCTTCCCAACCCAGGGTTCAAACCCAGGTCTCCTGCACTACCGGTGGATTCTTTACCGTCTCAGCCACAGGGAAGCCCAAAGTCGAAGATGATGACCTATTAGATTAAGAAGAGATTGCTTATTATGGGAAATGATATTAAAGAGATCAAAAAGTAGGAGCTGATCGTTATGTAGGAGGTCTGAATAGAATGGAAGGTATAAGAGAGACAGACACAAAATTCAAATATCCATAGGAAGGTTCAGAAGGATGAATACTCTCCAGCGAAGTAGAAAGCACAGAATGAGGCAGAGAACAGAATCAGGTTATTAAAAGAGGCTAATATGTTGTTTTGGTTTTTACTTGTGTGTGAGAAAAGGAATTTTTTTCCCTTTGCAGTTTGAAGTGATTGACAACAATCAGAGAAATATTTTTTAAAATGGGGAGCAGGGGAGCAAGAGGGGTAGGAGAAACAAGAGGTGATGAGCACCAGAAGTAAGTCAAGATAGAAAAAATTGGTTAACTGAAATAATTTGCTATAGAAGATTTAGACATCTGGTGTTCTGGTATTCTGCTTGAAACCAGCACCAGCGGGAGGTAGGACTGGTAACTGAATTTTTTTGCATTCCCTACAAAAGTCACAAATAACTATTTGGCCCTAAATTTAGGGATAATAGTAGTTTCCATTCTTTCCCGTTCCAACCAAATGACCTTCGGTCCGTCACTTAACTTCTCTGCAACATGCCACCCTGCTTAATGAAGCTGTTTTGAACGTGTTGAGTGTTTGGTGTAGAGCAAATGTTTGCAAAAACAATGTCATGGTGTTCAGCTTTTCCGGATCTGTGTGAACTTGGTTCGTTTCTCTTATCAACAGTCCACTCTGTGGGAGCAAATGAGGGATTTTGTGAATCTTCCCAAATTGTTTCAGGGTAAATAGCTCCTTTATTGTGCTGAAGAAAAAATTTACTACTGGTTCCCCAGAACATTTTTATGTTGTGTTTGTTAGAGTACTAAGCAGTTCATTCCCATTTTATGGATAAGAAAGCTGAAGTAGAAGTGGTTTATTATTTAGTCTCAATTTCACAGATGCCCACATTTGTCCCATGATTCAAACATGGCAAACAAATACCCTTTCAGTGAAACATAAAAGGGTATTTGGGTGTCAGGCACTTTCATAAAGTTAGTTTCAAGCCCAGAGCTATGCTCAGCATTTTGCACCCTCCTGAAGATAGAACATTATGGCCTATTTAAGACTGAGAGTGTGTCTAAGCTCTCCTGTAGTCTGCATGTTCACCTTCTTCTGATCTTATACCTGGACTTCATTATTACTGGGTTCTAGCAACTGGACTGATGGAAATTTTATAGCTGAGAACCATCCCAAATTAGAAATACCTGACAGCAAGAATGACACCACTTATCAAATCTCCTAAGACATTGTTAAAACCATCAGGTCTTATTATAAAACCAGGCCAAGAAACAGAACCTTATTTATAGTCTTACGTAATAATGTACGATGGGACATGGTTTATAAGAAATGACAGCACATCATTGCAAAGTTAGCTGAGGGCCTATTTCAACCTCAAAAGATCTATAAATATGGCTAAAAGGTAGCAAAGCTGGAACCAGATCCAGGTCTCTTGACTCCCTGTTTGCTACACTTTCCAGAAGGTCAAGAGAAGCTGCCCTGTGGGAGGGTCAGGAGGATAGATTTTAAAATAATCCAGAATCCTTGTAGCATAAGTGAGGTCTTCTCGGGTGAGTTTTGGCTCCTCCAGTTCCCAATACAATTGTGAGGATGTGTCTGCATGTGCTGGCTGATTGGCTAGAAGATCTCCTTTCCTAGAAATCATTAAAAGATCATAGGCAAAACTGTCTTGGGGGTTCAGATAAATAGTCTTCAAGGCAGGAGATTAGCAGATGTATTGATTTACAGTGCAGTAAGCTGTTGGGCATATCATTCAAACATCCATGAGCTCATCTAATCTGGTATTACCATTATCATCCACGTTCTCCCCTGATAGTGTATTTAAACTGAGCTTGTTGGACTGTTGGATTAAGAGTGCTTTCTGGTTTGTTTCTCAGGTTGTGGTTTCTCGATCAGGATCATTAACTCCTCACGTGAATTTTCGCCTGGATTCCCACCCTGTGTCTCCAGAAGTGATTGTGGAGCACCCACTAAACCAGAATGGCTATACACTGGTTGTCACAGGGAAAAAGGTAAGCCCTGTTCCTTAGGAAGGTTCCATCAATGTGGTTCCTCCTGAGTGGATATTTACAGCCAGTGTCACCTGGTCCTTTTTAACTTCTCCCTTCATCTGGATCATACCTCTTTTCTATGAAGCTCTTTCCTGAGTATTCCAGACATCTCCTAAAATCAAGTTAAATTTTTACTTGGGGAAAATTGGACTTATGGGAGGTCATGTTCATGAGGTAAACTTCTCCTTTTGTCCTATATTTCTCAATGAGAAAGACAAACACACAAAATGAGAATTACAGTCGTAAGGGCAGAATTCTAGTGCCGGCAGATAACTCCTGAAGTGTACGTTGGAAGAGATTTTGCTGGCCAGTAATCCCTTTTCCCTGAGAGGAGGTGCATTTTGATGCCAGAATGATATGTAACCTTACTTAGAATTTCCCAGAGGTTCAAGTGTGTTTTCCAGCAGCTTAAATTATACTCTCTTGCTATTTTAAAATCATCTCAGCAGGGGAGGGATAAATTGGGAGATTGGGTCTGACATATATACACTACTACAAATAAAATAGATAACTAATAAGGACCTATTGTATAACACAGGGAACTCTACTCAATAATCTATAATGACCTGTATGGGAACAAAATCAAAAAAGAGTGGATATATGTGTATGTATAACTGATTCACTTTGTTATATAGCAGAAACTAATACAACATTGTAAATCAACTATTCTTAAATAAAATATTTTTTACAAAGTAAAATCATCTCACTGTCACCACTAAATAGAACCTCTAACATTGCGTGATAATTCTTGTGTTCACTGGACAGTAATAGTTACTTTTATCACATATGTGCCAAAAGTGGAGGGAAGGAAAAAAATTTTTTTAAGTTTAATCACATTAGCATTATTACATGATGTGAACACATAAGTGGCGTCTCTGTTAGACTCTGTAAAATTATATTTATATGTATCTTTGATGTATTTAGTTTTTATTTAATAAGCAAGCAAAACCCCCCTCTGGAAGCTCTTTCCATCACTTGTCTTCGCAGATCACCAAGATCCCGCTGAATGGCCTGGGCTGTGAACATTTCCAGTCCTGCAGTCAGTGCCTCTCCGCCCCTTCCTTTGTGCAGTGTGGCTGGTGCCATGATAAATGTGTGCGATTGGAGGAATGCCCCAGTGGAACGTGGACTCAAGAGACCTGTCTGCCAACAATCTACAAGGTAAGAGTCTCTGACAACTGTCATATGTGTTTTGTTTTGGAAAGCATAAATCCCATGGATTAAAAAATTCAAAAATCAAAGTATTCATTTGTCTATGAGGCATCAGCCGAAGTACCACCTCCTTCCAGGTTCTCCCTTTAGGGTGTCTTTGGGCCCAAGCCCCTGGACCCTGCACTTGAAGTGCTTGCTTCACACTCTCCTTGGGCAGTTGCTCTCCTCAAGCCGATACGTGAATAAAAGAGTAGTGGCTAGAGCGCAACACTGCTCCGCGTTCCCTCACACTGGGACCTGTTCCCTTCTGACCTGCCCATTCTGATTCCTCACCAGCTACTTTATCTACCAGGTGCCCAGACATAAGCCTCCATCATACATAGGGATCTAGTCATCATAACACAGAACCCTAACCTGGACCGTGCAAGCTAGAGGTCCAAGAGCTCCATGCTGAAGCAGGCAAACCAGGGGTTTTGTTCCTTCTAACACATAGAGAGTGGCTGTTTCATCAGTTAGGAGGCAAGTGGATGGTGGACACATTGGTAGCTGTGTGCCTTCTCTCAAAGTTCGTGGAAGAGAAGTAAAGACACAGCTGATAACCTCTATACTCTGCAAGCCAATTGATTCTTTAATTCATTCCAGAAACATTTATTGGGTGCCTCCCACACAGCTGGCTCTCTTCTAGACACTGGGGGGACAATTCCCAAACAAGACAAAAGTGCCTCCTGCTCTTAGAGAACTGAGCTTCTAGCAGTGGGCTTCGACCATGATATTGTAGACACACTCTCTCTTTGTTGCTTTGTTATGCTTAAGCATGTATTTGGTGCTCTGAAAATCTCCATGGCAATTTGTAAAAATTTCCTTCTTGATTCAAACACATTTTGCTTGAAGCTACTAACCTGGTAAGGACTCAGTGTGTGTTTTCTCTGCCTGCATATGGAACAGTTGGACTTTGGTAATAATAAATGATGCATGTGAAAGAATCAAGTTAAAGATCTTGGTCTGTCGCCTGGTTCAAGCCCAAGTAAACAGAGTGTGCAAGTTAGAACAGGATCTGCCCCCAAGCACATGGCTGTTTTCATTTAGCTACGGTTTGGGCAAAGATTTGTACTGGGTGACTGGGTTTTAAACCAAATCATTTTCTGTTAGGTGTGACACAATTATTAAGCCTCAGCTTGATCAGCTAGAGAATAAATGAGAAGATATTATAACAAATTTAAATCTGTAGTGTTTATGCACTTTTTGTTTGTGTGTTTAATACACTTTTAAAACCACATGCAGTTTTACACTTTTAAAAAAACGTAGCTTTGGCAGTTTGAGACACCAAGAATCCGAATGCAGCTATTCCCTGAAAGGTATGGGGACTGTGTGTGTGTGTATTTGTGTGTGTGTTTGTGTGCGCGTATGCATGTGCAATTAAATCACAATTTCATTTCAAAAACAACCAACCTGCTGTTTTAAATAAAGAGCAGGTTGAGAACCTGTACAGATGAAACATCTAACTTTGACCTGTTTACCACCTTTGTTATTAATATTAATGAAAGCTACATTAAAATGGTTAAAAACAATAAATATTTTAGAATTTTCTGGAACCAGAGACTCTCTCATAACGTTTGAATCTCCCCTCCTCCACCGTCCCTAACTCCAGCACTCTAACTGGAAATTTTTAAAAGGTTGGGTTGTATCACGCACCATTCACTGAGGCTCGGGCCGTACAGTTGGAAAGAAAATAATGCAGCTGAGTCCATAAATCCCTTTTGGTTCATAGTTGTTAGGAAGATTTCATGCTGCACTAGAGCATGACATTTAGCGTTCTTACTGCACAGAGTAAGACAGGTTATTCATCTTTTTCTTATCTGTCTTAAATGCTGCAGGCACAAAACCCAGCTAATGTGTAGAGTTTCACTTTCCTATAAATGTAAGTCAACCTGCTTTTCAAGGTACATGATGTTCAGTGGCTGAGATTCTCTGCAGTTCCACGTATGAAATATTTCAGGAGTGCAAGCCCATTATTTTGTTTCAAACATGTTATCTGATCTTGCACTTAAAGAGCAATGAAAAATGCTTCAGAAAAGAAAGAGCACTTTCCAATATATTCTGAATTTATTAAGATAAAATTGTCATATCTTGTAGGATTAGAGTTCAGTCCTGTGAGACAGTAAAACAGTTTATTAATTGATCAGAAGACTCAGATAAGAAGCAGCAGTGATATCTTATGAGGGACATGAGATATTTTATCTCTTGTCTGCAGTACACTGCCACCAATATATTTGTGACATTTACTGAAGAGACAGATTTTAATTTTCCAAGATTGTTGTTGTTACTTTAATTTTCTCATGTATTATCCTGATGGGTTTGAAAACATGATCATTTAAATCGTTTTCACCTGTGTAAGGACAATAGTTATTTTTGTGGCTATTTCTACCCTATCCAGACCCAGCCTCTGTGGCTTTATGCTGTACACTCATTTCCTCCTCACAGAGTTTCTCTACCCTCAGGATAACACAGTTTGCCAGCCCATTGTTGGGTCTGTCCCCGGGTGTGTAGTCCAAGACTGTGTCTTTCCTTTTCCCCCGGAAGAGTGAACGTTACCCCATAAGCTAAGGCAGAAAAGCTCAGTTGCCTGCCTCTAATTTTCAGCCAGGAGAGAAAAGCTAAGAAGAGCTAGCCTTTCAAATCCTGATGATCTCACAGAGGTTTTATATTAATAGCACCCATGTCTGTTGCCAGCACACCAATTGAACAACTCTCAGTGTCTTTTCTGAAATCATCACACAATCCCTTTGTCTTATATAGAAAGTGACGATGATGAACGTGGAGTGACAGACTTCAGTTTTTACATAGAAAGGGGAGATCTAGGCAGTGGGATCAGGCCAACATCAGCCTTAGGCAGCTGTTTTCAGTGGGGAAGACTCCTCATTAAAAGAGGAAATAGCAGCTGTGTAACTGCCTCAGGCTGAAGAGAGCCCTGGAGGGTTAGATGTCTTTTTCTCTCCTACTGAATTTCTAACATAATAATAAAAGGATTTTTTTTCTAGCAATTCTCATTGGCTAGACATGGACGAGGTAAGTTTTCATGAAAGGCACAACTGTATAATGGATTTCATGGGTAAGGCATTAGGCTAAGACTTTTACAGGGGTTTGACAACAAGGGTATGACGTTGGTTTGCGATTATTTACTTGGGAGGGATGGTAACATTTGCAGATTTGAATTTTGCTAAAAGCTCTTCTAAAGTGTAAAAGAATCACTTTTATACTTTCACTAACTGCTGCTGCTGCTGCTGCTGCTGCTGCTGCTAAGTCACTTCAGTCGTGTCCGACTCTATGCGACCCCATAGACGGCAGCCCACCAGGCTGCCCCGTCCCTGGGATTCTCCAGGCAAGAACACTGGAGTGGGTTGCCATCTCCTTCTCCTTCTCCAGTGCATGAACTTTCACTAACTAGTCTTTAGCAAACACCCTTACTGATTTTTGAGTTGCCTGTATAGCAGTGCTGTTTTCCCACCATTGTACTTTACAGCACAATTTACAATATGTCCCCCCAAAAGAGCATTTCCTTTCTCAATTGTCACAAAGCTGCTGAGGAGAAGCTTATTTTTAACATGGAAATTTGTTTTGTTTTAATAGTTTTAGCCTAAAAATAGTTGTCTTGTAGACTTCATAAGAGCCCAATGCTATCTTGTATCACAGTTGCCAAATTTTTATTAATGAATTCGTTTTACTTTTAATACATCAAAGATAAACCTGCAATAATAAAAGGAACCTATTATTATTTAATACTGAGCCTGAAGTAAATAAGTCAATCCTAGAAATGTAATATACAATGATGCCAAAAGAAATAATTAGAAACATTTGCTACAATATAGATCACACTTGAGGCCCTCTCCAATTCTGCTTTTGTCTATTTCTAACAGAATATGTTGACTATATTACATCATTTTTAACTTGTTAACTAACCAGCTGTTATCTATCAAATAGTGACTGTATTTAAAGGGAAAAAATGGCAGTTAGTAATAAATGTGAATTAAGAATAAATAATTAAGTAAAATAAGTTCACTTACTCATTTATTGATGCCTAGCACATGGCAGATGATTTTCTAAATAAATAGTGAATGAATAGGGGCGTCCCTGGTGGCTCAGTGGTAAAGAATCTGACCTGCAATGCAGGATACCCAGGTTGGATCCCTGGGTTGGGAAGACCCCCTGGAGGAGGGCATGGCAACCCACTCCAGTACTCTTGCCTAGAGAATCCCATGGATGGAGGAGCTATGCAAACTGTAGTCCATAGGGTCGCACAGAGTCGGACACAACTAAAGTGGCTAAGCAGCAGCATCAGCAGTGAATGAATGAACGGCATATATGTATTAAATACCATATACCATATAAAATACCATATACAGACTGATATTCTGATAGCTCTTAAATGCAACCGTGAAAACACTGGGTACAGAAAGAAGTATTTTTACTGTGTGACTTTCTCCTCTGGGTGGGGAATACCATAGCAACAGCATGCCTGTAGCACACACCCAGCTGGTACTCAGAACAAGGCATATATCAGTGCTCGGCTTCTAGGACCCATGAAGGAGTTTTGATCAGAGTTCAATCTGGAGGCCCAGATTATATAAGCATATAAAAGTATGGCTTATATAAAACATAAAATTTGGGCCTAAAGTGTGTCTTCTTCATCCCAAAAAGGCCTTTCATCCCCACCTAGGCTGAATTTGCCCTCTCTCCCATCTCTGAATCTTCTGAAAACAGCTTGTATCATCAACCTGACAGTTTTAATGTTTGTTCCAGATTCTCTGAGATTTGTATCCCTTTTTCCTACGGTGAAAATGCAATTTCTTTAGATAACAAGAGAAGAGAAGGATTTCAGACTCTTTGAGGATATATATTTTGTCTGTTTTTTTCCCACACATATGAAAGATAATAATGTGCTCGTTTTTTTTAAGTTCTATATTGTCCTTATAGGTTTTTCCAACTAGTGCCCCCCTTGAAGGAGGGACAACACTGACTGTTTGTGGCTGGGACTTTGGATTCAAGAGGAATAATAAATTTGACTTGAAGAAAACCAGAGTTCTCCTTGGAAATGAGAGCTGCACCTTAACCTTAAGTGAGAGCACAACAAACATGTAAGGACCTAAAAACACTTGGCCAGGGTGTGGTTGGAAAACAGGTTTTAGTTTTGAATGAATACTTGTAAAACTTGCCCCAAAAGTCCATCTCTTGAGTTAAAAAATGTCTTGGTCCACCACTCCCCTTGTGGATTTATTTTGTTTTAAAAACTATTTACTCACCAGGATTAAGGAGGAAGAAAGTGACCTTACTTAGATGAAGAAAAGAAAAATCTGGCATCTGGGAATTTTTCAACCATTTTTGTCACAACACTTGAGAAATTGTCTGGGTAGATTTGAAAGATTAGCATTGGTTGGGGTTGGTCCATCTAAAGTCTTCCATAAAAAAAAAAAATAAAATAAAATAAAGTCTTCCATAAAGAGACTGTTTCCAACAGTTTTTTCTATAAAAAAACAGAAAAGAGCTCAATATGAACCCTCTTTTCTAAATTCACTTTCTGAATCTCAGAAATGTAGTGAAGCAGCTGTATCACACTTTTGAGACTCATTGTTTTTGATGAGTTTATATTTAGCTGATCTTGACACTGTAATGAAAAGTTAAAGTGTTAGTCACTCCGTCGATCCGACTCTTTTCAACCCCATGGTCTGTCCATGGAATTCTCCAAGCAAGAATACTAGAATGGTTTGCCAGAAAGGAGTATATCTCATGTAGTCATTCCCAAATCTCAGGAAATAGCAATGTTATCCCTATTTTACAAAGATGGAAACCGAAGTTCAGAAAGATAGATTAGTAGAGGTAATCCAGAGAGTAAGAGCTGAACAGGCCTTCAAACTCAGCTCTCTTGATCCAAGACCTGTGCCTGTTCTACTGTATCCTACTTGTAACTTCTATAAGATCTGAATCCCATAATGAACAGAGAACCCAGAAATTTTTAATTATGTAGTAACAATAACCAAACATTTAAAGTTTTATAGTTTGACCTATTCTTTCAAGTGGTTATTTTATACCTAGTAGAATTCCTTCCAGGGTTATGCAAAGATCTAAATCTACTCATCTTATTTTACTGAGGCCAAAACATCAATTAATGTCATACTTGTTTAGCTTAATGGCAAAAAAATTCATTCAAGAAATCCCCCTTGTAAGTTCTTGCTCATTGCTTATAAATTAGAGCCTATAAAAGTGAGGCACAATTATTCCTCATTTTTAAAAGTTTCTTAATAAAGCAAATTATGCTTTTTAGGATTATATTAAGATTATTAATTTAAAAATAATTTTGTGGAAAGCCTATTGTTATTTTATCATTATTGCTATTAAATAAACATGTATAACCACAAAAATGCATCTTTTGACATACTTTGAAGAAGAGATTTCTGCTTAGTTGTAATCAGCCCGTTGTTTCATATGCTATCAAAATACCATTTCTTTAAGTATGCCAAACATTATGCCTACAATTGTATAGGATTAGACTGAGATTATTATGAACTTTTCAATTGGTGCATTCTACATCGATAATGTTTAACATTTCCTGTTTTGTCTGTATGAATAATACAAGACAGTCAATATAAAGTTTAGCATAATAGTACAGAAATAGAGCTATACAATTTTCAGTCTTGATGCTTACCTGGAAACTTTGCTTGCTATTTAGAGTAGTCAGCTCACTATTTGGAGATAATAACCCTTAATATAAAACACCCAAGCCAGAAAATGCCTTTGGACTTACAACATATAAAACTTTACTTTTTCAGGTTGAAATGCACAGTTGGTCCTGCAATGAATGAACATTTCAATATGTCCATAGTTATTTCAAACAGTCGCGGGTCAGTACAGTATAGTACATTTTCCTATGTGGTAAGTCTAGGCATTCATTTTCTCGTGAACTAGGATATTTAATTATTACTTAATCTACTTAGAGTTATAAAATTAACAGGTTATTTTATTTTGTTTTTGTCTCTCATTCAGGATCCTATAATAACAAGTATTTCTCCAAATTATGGTCCAAAAACTGGTGGCACTTTACTTACATTAACTGGAAAGCACCTAAACAGTGGAAATTCAAGACACATTTCAATTGGTGGAAAAACATGTACTTTAAAAAGGTGTTGTAGTTTATCTTTTGTTTCATCAGTCAAGTCGGTGTAATATTTGTACCTAACAAATCAAGAAAATATTGTTCTTTTGTGGCAAAAAGTTAAGATGTTTATTATTTACTGACCTTACCTTAAAAAACTTCTTCCTTCCTGAATCCCTCTACTCCTTTTTGCTGTTTTTTCTACCCTTCCCTTATGGTTTATAAATTCCACTTTTAAGTTTGTCTTCCCATCCACCTTCTTTATTGTTATACTATACCACCTACGCTATAAGCTGTGAGATTCTGGTAATTGACAATAAACATTTCCATCAAGATTTACAATTAGATCAGATCACTTTGGGGTGGTGAGAGTCACGAGGGAGATAGGTTAGGGAGTTACGTTTTTGCTTCTTAGGAGTTGGGAAAGCTTAAATCAAGTACCAAAACTTTAAAAATTGCTTAAAATCCCAAATATTTTTAAGTTGGATGGCTTGCCTACAACAAAGGTAAGTCTGGGATCTAGTCAAATGCAAACACCGTACATTAAAAAGAGCTTTTTTTCCCCTAGAAATTCCCATTTAGGAGCTATTGACTGATGTCCTTTTTGATTTATGGATATAATTCTAATATATATGTGTCTTTAATAACGAAGATCCATTTTCTTAATTTTTTGTTCAGTGTTTCACATAGTATTCTCGAATGTTATACCCCAGCCCAAAGCACTCCAAGTGAGTTTTCTATTAAATTGAAAATTGACTTAGCCAACCGAGAGGTGAACAGCTTCATTTACCGGGAAGACCCCATTGTCTATGAAATACATCCCACCAAATCTTTTGTCAGGTAAGTAAAAGTTTCTGATGGGTATAAGAAAATAATGAACTTGAGGATGATTGGCTGCCAAATGGTCAAAAGGAAGATAGTTGTATCTCTGGATTTGATACTAATGCATTTCTTTTGAAGGATACCTCTCCAATTCTGGAGTGAAAACTACATTCAGATTCTGAGTACAATTTGACTTTATCAATGCTAGTTCATACCATTTTATCCTAGTCTAAATAGATTTCGTTATAACAATTTAACTGTATATCATAGTATTTAAGTAAGCACTTATATCATGTACATTTTAATTCTTTACTAACCTTAGTGCCTAAAAGTGGAGTCACCACCTTTTTCTGTCCATTTTAGTGTATTTTTCCTTGCCTACTTTACACACAGCTTTTCTCTATACCAGTGTGTTAATCGCTCAGTCCTGTCCAACTCTTTGTGATCCTGTGGCCTATAGCTTGCCAGGGTTCCTCTGTCCATGGAATTTTCCAAGCAAGAATACTGGATTGGGTTGCCATTCCCTTCTCTATGGGATATTCCTGACCCAGGGATCAAATCCAGGTCTCCCACATTGCAGGCAGATTCTTTACTGTCTGAGCCAATACCAGACTCCCTCTAAATCAGTATCTCATTGGACCCATTTCAGTCTGCCTTATTTCTGTTATTTCTATCAGTCTAGCGACAGTAGTTAAATTCATTTTTCTTTGTATTTTTTTCAGACAGGAAAAAATATTTCTTTTGCATATTTGATGAATAAAAAGAGAAATTCATTCCTTCAGTTCATGAAATAATGAATTTTTAAAATACTTCCAGGTTAAATAAGTTATTTCCAAAGAAAATTTACCACTGAACTTTCATTTGACTTCAGTTGTGTCTGTAACTTGTAGTTACTACATGTGATTTAATTTCATTTCTCTCTTAAAATACTTGATAGAGAAAGAACCTCTTATTGCTGTTTTTCTATTTTATTTTGCCAGTGGTGGGAGTACAATAACAGGTGTTGGAAAAAACCTGAATTCAGTTAGTATCCTAAGGATGGTAATAAATGTGCATGAAGCTGGAAGGAACTTTACAGTGGTAAGTCCTCCGCGTGATAGTTGTGCTTAGAGCTCTGCATCTCTGCCTGTACTGCCAGCTTTCAGGGTACTAGAGACATTTCAGTTTTGCCTTTAATGTCTTCTAGTTATCTTCCTTGCAGGTAGTCAAATAGGATTTTTTTAACTCAATGACTAAAAATATCTAGTCTCAGGCTAACATAAAACACACTCACACATAATGTTTAGCCACAAATAATGATTATCAACTTGAGGCAGTGTTTTTTAAAGACAGTCAGTACAAATGCAAACTACATCATCTCTGTCTTAGTCTGTTCGGGTTCTATAACAAAAATACCATAAACTGAGTGGCTTACGCAGCAAACATTTATTTTTTCTCACAGTTCTGAAGGTTGGGAAGTCCAAGACCAGGGTGCCAGCAGATCTGGCTTTCTGGGGAGGGCCCACTTCCTGGTTTGCAGCTGATTATGTTCTCATTGTATCCTCACATGGAGAGGAAAGAAAGAGGAAGCAAGCTCTCTTGTGTCTCTTCTTATGAGGGCACTAACTCCGTCATGAGAACTTCATGCTCGTGACCTACTTAGCTCCCAAAGGCCCCATCTCCAAATACCGTCATGTCAGGGATTAGGATTCCAAATGTGAATTTGAGGAGGATGCAAACATTCAAACCATAACATTTTCCTATCCCCGTTTTTATAATGCTCCATAGAACATCAACCTTTTTGGTCTAATAAAACCCCTGGGTAAAGCCTTTAATCTTGCCAAAGCATCCATGTCTTCCTACGTGGTATGGTGTTTTCTTTCATATCCTTCTTAACCATGCCTCTTGTTCTTTTGTTAGCATGTTATCAAATAATGAAAAAGAGCATTAAAATACTTAGGTCCTAGAGTGGGTATGATGTGTAACACTTCTTCACCTTTTTTCTTTTATTTGCAAGGTCCATCAGAATTTAACTGAATTCCTCCTTAAATTGACCTATTTTGTGTTCTGACAGTTTGGGGTCACATTTGAAGTGGCAGTTTTACTTCAGACTATAGGAAGTTTGGAGTTATTTATGAAGATTATATATTTTGTTGTTTTTCTTTGATATAAAATACCCATAATCTAGTCAAACTTGTACATGTAACATAGAATGAAAGTTTCTAAGTGCCCCCTCTCAGGCAGGGTCTTGATTGGGGAGGTAATAGATTGAATTACAGCACTTCCTTTTAGGTTTGCATCCAATATTTCTTGAAGGCTAAGGCCACAGTGTGCTTTAATTACAAAAACCAATCTGGGGCTAAAAATGTCAAGCCAAATCACCAAACAATAAGGTCATCTCAAATGAGATTTTTCTTGACCTTCTCAATCAGCCACATTGCATCACCTCTAAAGAGTATTATTAGATTGTTATAATATTCCTGAGAGATTATACTCTAGGGAGTCCCCATATGAAGTAGAGAGCTTTGAAACCAATCCCTGCACATGGCCACAAACAAAGTTAGAATACCACCACTATTAATTTAAAGGACATCAGTTCTCCACAACAAAGCATAGCAATTTTTTATTAACCAATAAAAATAACAGTAACCCCCTTTGGTGTTGGCATGTGACTTTTTAAAGTTGAAGTCTGATAAATTATTAGTTTATCTAATTCACACTGAGCTTACGTTATTAAAACCATGACTAAGATTTCTTCCCTCTGCCTCACCAGCATTATGATGACACGTGACATCATCCATTCATTTGTAATCACGTAGTTTTTAAAAACCTCCTAGGTGTGACAAAGAAGATTGAAAAAACAGTAGAAGATTAGAATCTTATCTGTTTGTATATCTGGAAATGTAAACTTTGTTATTTTAGCCACAAAGATATTAGTACAATAGAACAATGGATTCAATTTGGACAGGAATGAAAAATTCAGTGGGTCTATTTGACTATTGTTTGCAAAAAAAATCTCATAAAGAGGCCTGTGTTCTTTCCATATTCCCTGCTTCTTGTAGAATTTGAAGCTGACCATGATGAATTGAAGTCATTCATTATTTAACAGATAAAAACTCTTGGTCAGGTCTGATTTAGATTTACTGATCCAGCCAGAGTAAATTTCCAGTCTAACAAATTCAGATCTTTTAAAATAAAAATATTGATCACCTTCTTAACAAAATGCGTATTAATTTGCTAACATACATTATGCCCCAGAAGCCAGAAGTTTGTTAATTTTCAAATTTCTTGTTACATAGAAAATTACTGTAATAGCAGTAAAGTTGTTCATTTCCTTTTTTCAAGATCATAGGATAGCTTTTAGCATTGTAATGTGGATTTGATACAAAACTAAATAATATTTTATTCATATTATGTCTATATCATTTTTCTTTATCTGCATATAGGACACCTTTTTCAATATAGGACAATTTTTAAATTATTTTTAAAAGAAAATATCAAATATCCAATTTTGTTTGTGCTTTTTCTGTATATCCTGAGTATTTTTCTATTGTGGACATAAATAATTGTTTTATCTCCAACTCTACTTGTCAAAGAAAAGGAAATCTAAGGGATGTTGTTGCTTGTTTGTCTTTTCCTTGGGGGGGCGGGGGGAAATGCAGCCATTTAACCTTAAATGCACCACTTTTTGTTGCTGGTTTCATCTAGGCACAATCAAGAGGAAACCACGTTTTCCAAACTTCTATAAATCAGAATTACAAAGGGGAAAATTTTTAATGAAAGATGAAAGGACATGAAATAATAATAGCAGAACCTTTGTAAAATAGGATAGGAAAAGTTTGACCAGTGTAGAATACAGAGTGAACAAGAAGCCACACAGCATGGGAGTCATGTGGTCTAGGATTTATGTTCTTTACTTTGCTACTCAGAGCTTTGTGACCTGGTCTGATGATATCAGCCTCAAAAAGCTCTAGCACCTACCTCATAGGATTATTGTGAGAATTAAATGACACCAGCCTTGTAAAGTACTTTGCACAGAACCTGGCACTCAGTAATTGATAGCTTAAAACACACTAATAAGATGATCTTACTACATAATTAATTATAGTGTAAACCATATGGTGCTTGGCAGTTGACAAAGCACTTTACCTTGTAGTATTCCACACTGTGAATAACATTTTAATGTTTATTTCTAAATGAGGCAACTGAGTTTCCAAGTAAGGGCTTTGGCTTAATTCTTAAAGCTTGGTTTAAAGCTAAGATGCGAACAGGACTTTAATTGCACAAAGTTCAGCTTCCCACTCTGCAATAGCTGTTTCATAAGCAGCCACCCTCCTGGTGACTGCTATCTTCTTAAGGAAGATAAAGTGACAGAGGAAAGAGACAGCTTCAGATAGAATAGCATCCATCTTCCCAGCAAGTGAAGCTTTGTAGCTCCTTTAAGGCTGGATTGTTTAGATAATCTTACATCCGTCAAGTTTCCAGAAATGTGCTCTTCAACATTAGTGAGTTAAATGGAGATTTTTTTTCCATATAATGTATATTTTCAGTTGATTGTCTGAAACAGTGAAATGTGAAAGTTGCTATTGATGCTGTCAAGCTGTGTTCTGTTTACAGTGAATAATTGGTGTCTTACTGTAGGCATGTCACCATCGCTCTAATTCAGAGATAATCTGCTGTACAACTCCTTCACTACAACAGCTGAACCTTCAACTCCCCCTGAAAACCAAAGCCTTCTTCATGTTAGATGGGATCCATTCCAAATACTTTGATCTCATTTATGTACATAATCCTGTGTTTAAGCCTTTTGAAAAGCCAGTAATGATCTCAATAGGCAATGAAAATGTACTGGAAATTAAGGTAAGAAATGCTTAAAATGCTCTCTTAAATCATCAACTTGCACTTAATTGACTTCATAGCTATGTGAATAAAATTGTTGTGCTTGGTCATTATCTTATATTACATTAGCAAATATCTAAGTTCTGAAAAGCACATCTTTTGACATAGGATTAAAAGGTATGCATAATCATGGACTGCTTTTTAATGAAGCATTTAAAAATTCTTTCTTAATGTATATAATAAAGAGTAGTAAATGTAGGACACAGATCCTTTAAGTAAGTTGCCTGTGATTTATTCTTCTGCCGATGTTACTTACATATTTCCCTGGACACCTAAATGTGCTCATTACAAGATAAAAGGTAAGAGTCATAAAAGTGAAGACATCAATTGTAGTTCTGCACTTCCTTCTAATACTTGGACTTTTGTATCTGGGTGTGGTCATCTCTAAGCTGATTTCTAAATGGAGCTGAATTTCCTCTAGCTCAGGAATATATTAGCCTCTAAATATAATTTAATTGGATAATAACAATCACCTTTTCTAAACCAGCCTGTTGCAAACAAAGAATAGCAAAATCCCAGAGAGGTTACATGGTTTGACAAGTGATCAGACTGAGGCAGAACAAAGACTAGAATACAACTCTTTTATGTTGCTTCAGTCATTTTTACCTCAAATAGTAATAAAAGGGGCAAAATGATCAAAACTTTAATAGTCCCAGTCTCTAGAAACAGCAAAATATTTATATTTCAACATGATGTTTTTAGACATGCAGTATTTTCCTCCAAGAGATAGCCTGAATGCAAATATGAACAAACACAAAGTAATAGCGTAGTCTTTGTTTAGATGTAATATAAATTCCCATAGATCATCTCCATGTAGGTAAGAGTGTGTTTTTACTAAAATTATTCTGCTTTTTCAACAGGACTTTGTCTACAGCCAAACCCATGTACACATTCACACTCATACAAGTTTACTAACCTCCCAATTGTGTTTTGCACAATAATTAAGCAAGCCCAGCATGAAATTAAATGGAAGCCTGCTTCACTGAACAGCATGTTTACCATAGCAAAGTTCTTTCATCTGCTTCTTTAATTAGTTTTAGAAAGGGAGAAAGAGCTTTTATCACTTTTTTTTTCAATAAAATTAATCTAGTGTGACCTTTTGCTTTCAACAATTACTGTGTTTGCCATTTCAAAGATTCCATTTGATTTTTCTTGACGAAAACAAAGGTTTATTTGAAAATACTTCTACACCCATATAAATTCTATTTTTCTGTTCCTGTATCTGTCATGGAAGGATTAGAGAATAATGGTTCTTTATCTACCCTTTCTAATAGTCTTACAAGAAGGAGAAAACTCCTTTTTCTATAAATTACATACCCATTATTCAATGTCCTACAAAATTGCTGGACCAAGAAAAATATGATTTGACGTCATCCTCAGCCTTTAATGCTATTCCCAACCTGGCCAAGAGGTCTCTGGAAATAGACACAAGAGACTTTCTTTTCTTGTCTATGTACAGAATGACTCTTTTCTCTAACAAAGGTCTAGCACCTGTCATGTTACAGAGTGGCAATCTGGGGAAAATAGGAACAATTTAGTGGGACTATTTTGAGAGTGTCATGATTCAGTCATCTCCCATATTCCATTTTATGTATGTGTAAGAGGAAATCTAAGCTATACGAGAATCTTTGTGTCACAGCAGTTTAACCCTTTATCAGTTTCTAAAGTTGACCATATTAAAACCTCTGCCTCTCTGAAATAAGGAACATAAAGCAAGAGAAGAGAAAAGGCCTCTTCTGGACAAGCGGCGAACTGTTTTTAGCAAAAGAAAGGGTGCTATTTTATTTCATGTTGTGCATGTTCAATTACCATTCAAAACATGAATATGAAATATATTTGTGTTCCATCAGTGAAAGTACTATGGAGAGAATTGTGTTTAGAGCGAGATTTGCTTCTTTTTGCCAGGAAGAGTTTTGTGCTGCTTAAGCAGCCATGCATATAGAGTTATTTGGCTAAAAAGAGATTGTGATAGTTTCCAGCCCTAGTTGTGAGAATTGCCTCAGTCAGTAGTTGGCCCAGTGATTACACTATGGCCAAGAGGGTCAGCCAAGTTTGGATCAAGAGAACATAATAGAGACTAGGGATCAGTCTTCCTCAGCATGAATCAGAAACCCCATAATGTGGGCAGTAGTTTGTATCTAAGGCTTAGGCACCAGTGTGGACAGTGGTCATCAGAAGTAGACATCACTTTGGGAGTACACATGAAGGTACAGTGTTCATGTCAGCAACAGCTCATGTTTTTGAGAAATTTTAGTTAATACAATACTTTGACAAATATTGTTTCATTTGAGATTCATGTGGACATATGGGGTTGGGAGGTCAGTGATGGTTATCCCCCTTTGCTGCTGCTGCTACTAAGTCACTTCAGTCGTGTCCCCCTTTATAGATAAGTAAACAGAGGTTTAGAAAGATCAGATAATTTGTCTTGGGTCATTGTAGGGAGCAAACACTGGGGCTCACAATCAAATGTCTTGATTCCATATTTGGTCTTCTTTCTACTGCATTACAAAGCTTTGCATATTAACTTTCATTTAACATATACCAAAATACCTTTCATAATAGGGAAATTTTCTATCATGTGGTATGTAGATGTGCATGCAATTCTTTAAGTAAAATAGCTCTAAACTCTTTATGAATACCTGAAAGTCAATTCTGATGAAAAGAAACCCTATATTTCCTAATTATCCTATTATATGACTTTTTATTCATATTTTGTGGAAACTAGAGAAGCACAGTATTTAATGCTGGAACTAGAACTGCCTGACACTGCCCTGGGACTTTATCATATTCTCAAGCATATTGATATACATGGTAATAGAGATGCTTCAGAAATTCAGTTTGGATAAGTTGGTTAAAACATGAAAAAGAGCAGGAAGATCAGCTAAGTCAAGGAACAGGAACTTGGGCTATGATACTAGGAAGGAGCCTAATAACAAAGCTCAGAGCACGCTCAGATGGAGGTCTGTGTCAGTGTCTTGGCATTAGAAGGATTTAGAATGGAGAGTCATTCTTAGCTAACTCAGTCTACTTCCTGCCCAGAGCCACCAGAATTTGTCTTCCTCCCACTTCTGGCTGATGTACCTGGAATTACAGGCCCAAACCCATTCACAACCACTGTGAGGCCAGTTCTGTCTATAACAGGGTAGAAATGAAGGGCTCTTTTCTTAGAAGTCATTTGGCCCAGTGTCAAGACCTATTCTTATTGATGGGACTTATAAGTTGACACTTAACCCTTGAACAATATAGGTTGAACTGCACAGGTCCAACTTACATGCAGGGTTTGTTTGGTTTTTTTTTTTTTCGATAAACACATACTACAGTTCTATGTAATCCAGCATTGATTGAATGCATGGTTTCAGAACCTCAGATACAGAGGGCTGACTGTGAAATTATATGTGGATTTTCAAATACACAGGGGTCAGCACCCCTAACCCCCATGTTATTCAGGGGTTGACTGTTTTTCTTTGTGCTATACACTTTAATATGCATTCTGGGGTAGATGCATCTACCCCAGATGCATTCTGGGTAATATTCATCCAGCGCTCATAGACAGCACCTGGGGTATCCTACTGACTTATGTAGCCAGTGAAGAAGCCAGTTTAATTTTGGTTCCCCCAGTTTTTCTCAAATGACCTGGGAACTTTTCTCCCCAAATGCCTGTTAATGTCCTGCGCACTTAGTTTTGAAGCTTTCCATCAAGGTTCTTTGCCCTAGTTCCCCACCTGAGGAGGCTCATATTCTCTCAGTAAAGTATAAATCTCCCTGTACCTCCCCCTCACTGATCTTCCTGCTGCCCACCCCCCCGAACCCTGGCTGAGTCCTACTGCCATCCCCCTTAGCTGACTTGCCCGGACTCAACATTGTGGCCACCTGGACTCGTGAAAACTTGTAAGGTCCCTTGTGTAATGATACTGTTTTTCAAATCCTGCTTTTATTCCTATCTGCTTTGTTCTGTAACCAGCTCAGACATGGGTTCCCAGTCCTGAGTCCTAGGTAGAAACATGTCATACCTGGCTAGAGTTGCAAAGGAAACGGCAAGAAACATACTGATATGACATGTGACGTAATAGTTTTTTCACTTCAGAAATGTATTCATTTTAACATTGCAGTGAGAAAAAGCAGCTCTTACTACATCATTATCTTCTCAGTAACTAGTGTTTTGTCATACAGTAGTAGATGGTAAGCAGTGCATGCATGCCAAGTCACTTCAGTTGGGTCTGACTCTTTGCAACCCTATGGACTGTAGCCCACCAGGCTCCTCTGTCCACGGGATTCTCCAGGCAAGAATACTGGAATGGGTTGCCATTTCCTTCTCCAGGGGATCTTCCTGACCCAGGAATCAAACCCGCATCTCCTGTAGCCCCTGCAGTACAGGCGGATTCTTTACCACAGGGCCACCAGGGGAAGCCTAATTTTGTATCAAATAGAATTGATTTGCTTCAAGACCAAGTCTCTTCTTGAACCTTAGTTCTCAATGTGAAAGCAGTAATGACAATAATCCCTACCTCAGGGAAGTGTCTTTACAGGATAAAATGAGATAATTACAACTCTAGATTGCTCTATGTATGTAAGGGACTGAAGACCAGAAATCTCCTTTTATATTGCTTTATTTAAAAACCTACTGGACTTCCCTGGTGGTCCAGTGGCTAAGACTTTGCATTCCCAATGCAGAAGGCCTAGGTTCAATCCCTGATCAGGGAACTAGATCCCACGTGCTACCACTTAAGAGTTTGAATGCCACAACTAAAGATGTTGCATGCCAGAACTAAGTCTGTGCACAGCCAAATAAATAAATAAAAATGAAAAAACCTTATATATAATGACTGAAAGGTCAGCTAATTCAGTTTTGTTCTACTATTTATATTATACTATTTAATAATAGTTAATATTAAATAATAAAAAGTAAATAAAATTTCTAAACATATACATTTTTTTCCACAGCTTGATAAAGCTATGTTTATTTTAAATGACAAAAATGAGACTATACCTTCTTTTTTTTCTCCTGATTCAGTCCTGTCTGTTATATAGTAGTGGACTTCCAGTATCACGTTTTTGATATCTTGGATTGTAGACTTTTAAAGTAATCACTCTACATACAAAGCTGATATTAATTTCTAACATAAGTCACTAATCTTTGTGCATTTCTTAGTAGGCACAAATAAAAAAGAGTTTCGTTGTTCAGCTTTGTCATCTGTTTTTGTTCTGGAGATGCTTTTATGCAACATCCTAGGCAACCCTGAGCCTAAAAGAAGGAGTACTGGAAATGTAGATGCAGTATGTTCATCCCTTCCCCCAGCCTTCATCATTATCTAAGCTGGCAAGACACGTTTTAGTCATTCCCTCATAAATCAAGCCTTCCAGCTCTTTAATCTCTTTCTTTTGTCATTTCCTGAATTCCCTCCAATATGTGGTCCAGAGCCTTACCCCTCCTCAGTCCTAACCAACAAGTTGTCATTTGAAGCCTCAAGGTGACCTGTTAGATTTATGTGCTTCTGCATTGGCTTGCCCTGTGTGGCTGACCTGGTTCAACGGAGTACACGTACTGCCTCTAGAAGTATCATAAGGATAGAGTTTGTCTATATCCATTTTTTTAAACTCCAAATTCATGTTAGAAAGAAGAATTTTCTTCTAACTTCTTTTCCCAGGATATCTTACCTAGCACTCTGTTGAGATCTATATGAGGCAATGTAAGACTAGTTTGTCAAGTATTAAAGATCATGTAAAATAAAGTGGAAAACAAGGTAGCAGTACTGTCATTGTTACTGGCTGCTCTTTGTCCCTCAGAAAAATACAATTATGTTTTGATATCTTTCTCCTCAGACTAATGGCTTTTTAATAAATGCTGTAACCATACTCGTTAAGTCTTCATATGAGAAACGATACCTCTGTTTTCATTTCTTTCCCAAGGGTAATTATTGGTTTCTTAAACAAAACAGTGGTATTTTAAATGCCTAATGGTGACTTCATTTAACTAAATATGTCAAATTGAATAATGTTTTTAAAGTCCTTATGTAACTATATAATTGTTCAAAATAATATAATCATGCTGTCATCATAATGAGGGTCTTAGGGCATCTTACAGGAATGTCTTTTAAAACGGATTCGTTTTTGTATAGGATTCAACTGTGCAAGAAGGGTGAAAAGAAACTGCCCAACTCAAACACCAAAGAAATACATTGACTTTTAGATCCATACATCAAAATCTCTGGAGATGGGACCTGGGCATCAGTATTTTATATAAAGCTCTCAGTGTGATTCTAAAAGTGAAGCCCAAGCTAAGTGTCTCTGCATTAGGCAGCTCAAACTAAATCTCTAAATTATTTCCCTTTTGCCAACTATCAGTACTCCCTGAAAACATTATTAAGTTGATTACAAAAAAGACATCATTTGACGTAGGGGTGTGAGTCAAGAATCTCTCCTTTTCTCTAAAATCCAGTTTGATGGAAAAGCTAGATCATGATTCCTGACTAATTAGTACCCTGAAATGGTCACTTTGTGTTTCAACCATCCAAATCCCCATGAAAATGAGTGTCAGATAATCATGTGCCTTGATAAACAACATGGCCTGTGTTTGCAGTGTATTTATATTCCTTCATAATTGTTTGCATTCCTTCAAAATTGTGAAGTGTTAACAAGCTCTTTTTTTTTTTCCTTCCAGGGAAATGATATTGACCCTGAAGCAGTTAAAGGGGAAGTGTTAAAAGTTGGAAATAAGAGCTGTGAAAATATACATTCACATTCTGAAGCTGTTTTATGTACGGTCCCCAATGACCTGCTGAAATTGAACAGCGAACTAAATATAGAGGTGGGATTCCTGCTTTCCTCTCATGATGTAAATAAAGATGCCAGTGTAATTATGTCACTTGCAGGCTTAAAATAAATCATTAAAGCTCATTTGTGTGTAGGCTTTAGCTCATCAGTTCACCTTGATTCTTAGTTGTTATTTTAGAAATAGTAATGTTTTTGTTGCACTGTCTCCTTCCCAAGCTTCAAAGGGTAGGTCTCAAAATTCCTTGCTGGCTACACTCTTCTCCATCATGCCACACTCTTGCTGAAATTTGCTGTAATCCTCAGGAGGGATAAGGACACATTCAGTGGTGTCTTTTCCCACCTCTCACCACCCTAGGAGGCCAGAGCCAACACAGTACTGCCAGCCACAGTGATCTCAAATGCATAGTCCCATAAATAAAAGAATGTGTTTACACTGGATGAACTGAAGTAAGAAACTATTTTATAGTAACCTTTTTCATATAAACAGCTATCTTCATTCCTTTAAAAGGCTGAGTAATATTCCACTTTGTAGATATACCACATTTTGTTTATCCAAATATATGTGATTTTTAAAGGGTTCCTGAAGTTTTCAAAAAGTTATGAAATGGGAACATATGAAAAATTTAAAAATAAAAAGCTAAATCATGAGATCAGAGTTTGGAGTTCAAATGGACCATGAATCCTAAAAATGATACCATGTTAGAGCTGGAAGGAGCATCAAAAACTTCTATGTATCAAAACAAAGCATATAAAAATATTCTGAGATTTTATTATCCCATAATAATAAAATAATTATTCACTTCTTATGGGGAGAGTCCTGTGCCCTCTACCGTATCCTCTAGGACAGAATTAATGTTCTGTTGTCTCTGCTTCTTACAATATGTTCATGCTTCTACAGTACATATCATCATGAACTATAACCATTTATTTTATTTTTTAAAATCATTTACTTTTGTGTTTGTGTTCCTTTCACACTTTAGTTCCTCATGGTCAGAGACTGATTTTTATCTTTTTATTCCTAGTACCTAGTTATAAGCACAAACAGCTAGGCATCATATAAGTATTTCAGTGACTAGTAGCCCCTAATTATTTGAACACTGAACAAGAATTGAAGAATGTCTTAATACTGTGGAGGCAATTATTCCACTTCTAGAACAGTAATAACCAGGTATTATTTTGAGCCTAGAGAGATCATGATTCAACTGTGTAGTGTATTTTGTACATATCATGGTTAATTTCTGACTTTTATTTGTCATTTGTAGTGGAAGCAAGCAATTTCTTCAACTGTTCTTGGAAAAGTGATAGTTCAACCAGATCAGAATTTCACAGGATTGATTGTTGGTGTTGTCTCAATATCAATAATACTCTTACTGTTACTCGGGCTTTTCCTGTGGCTGAAAAAAAGGAAGCAAATTAAAGGTGCATAATTTTTTTTGTTGTCTGTTTTAAAGGAGCTGCCATAACAATGCAATCATTACAGTTTGTAATTGTCATAGATTCATGTGTGTGGTCTTATGCAATCCATAAAAGCCATGAGTTCTGGTCACCGGGTCAAAGTCTACTGGGACCCATGATAGCCAAGTCTTTAACGAGGTCTTTCTCTCTCTTTTAAGATCTGGGCAGTGAATTAGTTCGCTATGATGCAAGAGTACACACTCCACATTTGGATAGGCTTGTCAGTGCCCGAAGTGTAAGCCCAACTACAGAAATGGTTTCCAATGAATCTGTAGACTACCGAGCTACTTTTCCAGAAGGTATACTTCAGTTTATTTTTCTGAAAAATACCTATACATACACCTCAGTGGGTTGTGGCAGTGTTGTTTATTTTTGGTTTTGCCTTTATATTTTTATAAAAATATAGAAGAAGTAGTCACCTCTTCTTTGGCCAAAGAAGTATGTAATTTGACACAAAGTTACATGAGTATTATTTTTAAATGAGCTCATAATATGAGATTTTTTAGAGTCTTTAAGCTCTATTCTCACAAAAAAGTTCATGTTAAAAATCATTTGAGCAAAGGTAAGCTGTTTATCATCTGAGTGCAATGCTAAGAAACTGTGAGGCTCTCTTTAACAACCCAGGAAGAGTTAAGATACAAGACATATTTATTGAAACAAAAGTTGGTACTGCTATATTTTTTTTCTACCTGCTGATCCTCAGACATTTAAATTATACTTTTAGCACTCCTTTGAAGGAGTCTCAATGAACTGCTAGCACCCAGTCTTTTATCCACAGCATTCCAGGACTTGAATATATTTTGAGTCTAACCAGTGTGTGGTTACTCGCTCAGTCATATCCGACCCTTTGTGACCCTATGAGCTATAGCCCGCCAGACTCCTCTGTCCATGGCATTTCTTAGGCAAGAATACTGGAGTGGGTTGCCATTTCCTTCTCCAGGGATCTTCCCAGGAATCAAACCCTGGGATTTGCAGGGTCTCCTGCAAATGCAGGGGAATTCTTCACCATCTGAGCCACCAGGAACCTTCAGTTATGCTGTTTAAAAAGGAGAGTTAACGTTAGGCCTAACTGTCAGATTAACCACAGTATTTCATGTTGTTTTGTTTAAACTCTCCTGGTAAAAGCAGAATGTCTGTATTGTATCTGCTCCATTATCTTTCAAAGTTACAGGACATGAGTCAAGTACAAGCATTTTCCTGGTTGAATATTTACCACTGGACAAAAAAAAATGAGTCACAGATCGTTGAGGATACTGCAGAACTTAGAAGTTGCTCATCAAAACAAGTACAAGAGCAATGAGGCACTTAACATTTTAATTTTTTCAACACTTATTTCCTCTTACTTTTTCAAGTTTATGTTAGTTCTACAGACACCATTAACGTTGTCTTTTCCCATATGACTCCATTCACCTTTAAGAATCCAAACCCTTAACAGCATGGGAAAATCAAATCCAGTTTATAGTTTTGAGATTTAGACCTATTTATTATTTTTTATTCACATTTAATGGCTCTAGTTTGAGATCTTTAAAATTCACTAGTGTCTTTTTTGAAGAAGCATATGTAATCTTCCTTCAGCCCCATTGCCCACCAGTCCTCTGTCATCATTGCTAAGGAACTTGAGTTTCATCCTGTTTGCTACAGTGAACCTACTCCTTGGAGGCATGGGAAAGTAAAATAGGCAAAAGAAGGTTACCCAGAGAAGAATGAGGAAACGCACAGCCAATACCTAATAAAGAGGCACTTAGAGAGCTTCTGTGTGTGTGTGTGTGTGTGGTGGGGACAGCCTCCTTATGAGTCTTTTCTGCAGACTTAGAATACACTCTGTGTCAAACCAGAATCACACTGATGGTTTGTGCACGTGTTTGAACTTAACAGAAAGGTCAGTGCAATTTCTGTGCCAGAGAACTTTTTCTTGTGCCTCATCAAGGATTTCCCTCCATCTCTGCACCTCTGAGAATTTAGAACCCTAATTTTTAGGTGCAAAAGTTTGAGAAGTGAAGGCAGAGGAACTGAGTTTATAGTTTCCATCATCTGGCTCATCTGCATTTCCCCCCTAGGAAAGGTTTTGAAACCCTGACTCTGGAATTAAAGCAACAGACACCCAGCTAGGCTCCTTCCATCCCTCACCCATCAAACATCTCAAGCACTCCCCTAATGTTCTACATCCTTTAAAGAAGGATGTAGAAGGCATCTGTCTCATTTCTAGCTAATGATTACTATAACTTACAATTTTCATAACTACAGGTGATCCCAAAGCTCTTCTGGAACCACTGCTGAGTTTACTGCTCTGGCCAAATTGATGTAGTAACCAAACTGTCCAATGTGGCAAACACTAAACATGTTTAAGTGGGTTTAGAAATAATCAGAGGTACCATCAACTTTCTTTTTATGCCGCTCTCTTAAGTTCTGATTTTCCTGATCATTTGCAAGCAAACAATATTTTTTTTGGTGCTAATGAGGACCCTCCCCCCACATAGGCCTCCCTTCTCTGTGTATTATATACTAACACATTTCAAAACCCAACCTAGTTTATCTTCAAGTCAGTTGCTTCCAATATAACACCCTCTCCTTGACGTGTATGGATTCCCATTGGAAAGGGCAAAGCAACTGGTGCCTTCTCTGCCCTATGTGACATTAAGAAATGTGCTCTCAGCCCCACAGCTTCCTACCTGGTGAAAGGGAACCTTGCCTAAGACTCGTTATAAAGATCAACTTACAAGGAATGCTGATCTGATCCCTTTTCAAGTGCTAAGCAAGGAGGATGGCACCCTAACCTGGTCCTTAGCTGCTCCCTCTAAACAATGATACTAGATCTGCTGCCCCCACCACAGGACGGAGAACTCGGGGAAAGTTTTCGTTTCTAAAAGTTTAACCATTACATATTTCTAGTTGTTTGTATGTATGTGTGTGTGTATATATATATATATATAGAGAGAGAGAGGGAGGGAGAGAGAAAGGTATATAATATTTCATTATACATATTTTTCTTTGACCAGGAATCCACATACATTTTGAGCAATACTAATAAATTCCATTAATAAACAGTAGTCTCTCAAAAGCCTTCTTTTTTCCTTTTCTTACAGTTCAGTTGAATTTTTGTGGGACAAGGCAGTTGCTTGACTACTTTTGCCACTTTTCATCCTTACGAGTGTAGTATGTTAAAAAACAAACCTCAGGCTTGGTTTTTGCCATATAAAAGAGAAATGTCTAAGGAAATGAAAAGGAAAAAACAAGAAAAGTTACTCCTTAATGTAAGGACATCAACAAGTGTTTTTTACAGACACACACACATACCCATATCTTTTACCAATTTACTATTTTATTAGATCAATTCCTTTGTAAAGGTTTTTCCTAGCCTCATTTAGTGATACAATAATTATTTCTTTACATTTAAATTTTGATTTTGTTATTAATTCAGTTTGCTCCTCCTGTTGCAGTCCCCACTAATTGAGGTTTTGCTACTGTTTCTAATAATTTTGCTTAATCTTGCAGACCAGTTTCCTAACTCATCTCAGAATGGGTCATGCAGACAAGTGCAGTATCCTCTGACAGATCTATCCCCCATCTTAACTAGTGGGGACTCTGATATATCCAGTCCATTACTGCAAAATACCGTCCACATCGACCTCAGTGCTCTAAATCCAGAGCTGGTCCAGGCAGTTCAGCACGTAGTAATTGGGCCGAGCAGTCTGATTGTACATTTCAATGAAGTCATAGGAAGAGGTAAGTATTTCCACTCAGCTTTTTGTTAAACACAATTTTCCAGTAAGCATTTTATCTTCTGCCTTTGCAGACTAGGAATTAGACAATGATGAAAGCGACTGACAGAGCAGTGATAACAAGTGCACTTGATTTCTGTTCTGCAGAAATACAACCCTGCAAATCACATCCATGGGGATTTGCCCCTGTGCATGGAGACAACTTGATAATCTCCCAGACATCTTACTAATGAATCACATTCTTTCCTCACCTTTTTCATAATGACAACTATAATTTCTTGAAAGTGCCTTTTACTTCTGTCTAAAAATCATTCTATTAAATTCTAATATTTTTACTCATATCTCCTTCCAGTCTTTCTTTACCCTGAGAATATTGACTTACTCTATGAAGTCCTGGTTTATAGCAGTTTGTACACTGCTGGACAGCATCAGAAGACAGGGAATTTATAGCCTTCCCTTGATCTGAAGCAGCATACGTCATCTCTACAATGCACTCCAATTTCTTTATACAAAGAGGAATGAATATTTGTATTAAGCCAGCCAGAGCAGCAATAACAGCTAGCATATACAGTACTGGAGGAAATATTGAGCAGGAAAAGAAACCAACAAGAAGCCAGGAAATGAACTCCACTGTTCCCTTTTTTTTTTCTAAAAAGCTTTTACCTTTAATACTGAATGGCCTCTGATCCTTTTACTCAGTATGTGCTGCAAGAGATAGCACAGACATCAGCCAGCATGATGCAGAGGAGACTGAAGGGACAGTTTGCCTTATGTGTTCACTAGGCCTTCCCATTTTCCTGTGATAGCATCAACACATTTCTCTATCATATACTCCAGATTTTAGTCCTTAGCTTGCTCCCCTTCACAAATAGCAGCCTCACTATTAACAGACATCTTTCACATCAGAGTAATACATAGTTCTTTATATATCTCTATAAATATAGATATATATATATCTTTATATATCTGTATATCTATAAATCCCAGTAACTACCAGTTTTAGAATGTGTGACTAAACTAATCATGTTCTAATTCTACATATCCTAAAATTAGTCTTTTGTATTTTTATCATGAAAGATGCTAAAATGGCAGTTATCTCTCTTATAAAGTAGTAATATGAATGATTCTGTGAATACTACTGTTTATTTACATGCTTTCTCCAAGAGAATGTGAGCCCTCAAGAGTGTAGGTTTTATTTACTCATCTTTGCATCACAAGAAGATAGACTAATGCCCAGCACTCACGGGCTGGGCACTCAGGGAGTCCTAGCCAGCTGGGTGAATTAATGACTTACACAGCTCTTAGACATTTGGCACCTCTGGGGAAAATTGCTGCCACTGGAAGAAAGACTACCATTGGGAAAGTGATGTGGCTAACACCAGAGAGAACTGGATGAAATGACTCAGAGTGAATTTGCTTCATTTAAGTCATTGTCTTTCAGTTTCTGCCAGCCTGGATTACATATTAACCAGTGACTAATGGGGGAAATCCTTATTCTATAATGCTCATCTTATTTCTAATGGTGACATTTTTATTTCATTTCAGTTTATTGGAATATAGAGAACTTATTTTATTGTAGTTCTTCATGTGGGTAAAACTTTGTTTTTATATTTAAAAGATAATTTTTGATCCTTAATAATAGTGTTCCTTATATGAGGCAGATGTTATTCCTGTTTTCACTGGTTCCACTGTAATTTGTTATTAAATACTTTATTATCTTAACCTCTAATAATAATTACATTATCTAAATATTTTACCATGTATTAAATAATCATATTTCTTTTTTATCTTTGGGTAAAATATATTACATCTATATATTTTACAAACACACACAAGTAGTGGTACTGTTAATCAAAAGCATAAGAAACAATGCACTTTTTTTGCCATGTAGGAAGCAAAAAAGACATGAAGATCATGAAGAGCTTAATAAATAATATTAAACAAATAAAACTAATGCAGCACTAACCAAGTTCCCTCTATCACATAGGACATTTTGGGTGTGTATATCATGGAACTTTGTTGGACCACGATGATAAGAAAATTCACTGTGCTGTAAAATCCTTGAATAGTAAGTTGTATTTTATTTAACAGTGGAGTACACTTCTGTGGTTGCAGACTAATAAACAGTTCATAATAAAATGTTGATTTACACTTTCCCTTGTGGAAATATTAGTGACTAGCTGGAACGATGGATCTAATCCTGAAATGTTGTTTGATCGAAATTCTTATTGAAATGTTTCCTCAGAAATTATCCCTCAGAGCTCTCATAAGTAAGAATGAAAGAGAAATGAGATTCTTGGATGAACCTAAGTATTATTTAAATATGTTTGGCTTCCAGTATTTGTTTTGCAAGTGACATTTATGGAAACTATTGGAAGCATTTTGGCACATACAGTAGTAGTGACTCATTGTGCCCAGAGGCATTACTATAATTATTTCTTTAACCACAACTTCCATCAAAAAGATAAAAAATGAAATAAGTCAAACAAGAGAAAACAGCAGAAAATTGAAAAATTATAAATGTGGTAATACCTCACTTATCCACATTTTTGATGAATGAGATAATCCATTAATTAAATGAACTTCCTTAGCAAGTGATACTTACCCCCTTTTAATGCTAGAATATATATATTTTTAGTATTATTTACTATTGAGAAAAATCTGCTTAAAATGGAACGCATACTCTTTTTAAGAAGCAGGGAATGCTAGAGTTACTCAGTTTTCCTGGGTCTTTCCCATATATATGTGTTATTAAACTTTGTTTGATTTTTTTTTCCTGTTTAAAAAAAAGAGAAAAGAAATATGGAATGCTTCCAAACATAAACTAAGACTTTATTAATGACCCAGAGCCATAATTATGGCATGAATTACTGTCTTGTACAACCCACCATACTCATAGTAGAGTTGGCCTGGCTTCACCTTTACTGACAGGTCTCACATGTCAAGTCAATGTACTTTGCCCCATTTCTAAGTTTCTGCTCATAGTTTGAGGCAGCCTAAAAAAATATTAACAAGATACATTACAAATTTATATTGGAATTAATGTTTTCAGTGCATGTGTGAAAGTTTTTCCTACAAGATATGTTATCAACAGAAATATTTCAGCCTTTTTGAACATAAATCTGCATGCTGAACAGTGTTCTGTATGGTTCATTTTGTTGGAAGTCTAACCACAAGATAATTAAAGCAACAATTTATATGAAATCTAACTACAAACTGTGATGGATTAAGTATAATTGTCAATAAATTTGCCTCAGTAAAGAGCACTACTGCCAGTTGTAAGAAATCCTAATGCCAAGAAATCTTTCTCTGTCCCTTGTGTATGTTGATCTCTATTTGGTCCAGATGGATGTCCAGGTCTTGGAATGCACTGCATTTGTAAGAGTATCATCACTGACACTGATACTAATCAGATTAATAAATTAAAGGTTGTTAACTCTTCATTAGTGCTGACTAATATCAGGCCCTTGGGATCTCTGTCTGGAAACTATCATAACAAAAGAGTCTACTTAGATAGCATAGGCAACGTTTGGTCTTCAAATCCTCCTAGTCCAGGGACTGGAAAACTATGGCCTGCTGCCTGTTTTTGTAAACAGTTTATCAAGACTCAGCCACTATTATCAGTCACTAGTGGCTGCTTTTGCACTGCGATGGCAAGAGTTGTGTATTTGCAACAGAGACCATGCAGCTTACAAAGCCAAAAATGTTTACTATCTTGTCCTTTACAGAAAAGTTTGCCAACCCCTGCCCTAGACAGTCACTACAGAAACGGACTGGCCTGCTTCCCTCTCCTTTTCTGTGCGAGGCAAACTATGGTTCTGCAGGCGACGGGCTGATTGCTAGACTCATTCAAAAACAAGGGCAGGTGGTGACTCAAAAGTGCAGCACAGGTGACATCATCCACCCAGCTGTGTCGTAAAAAAAACACGCTGAGGCTGAGGCATCAGGGCAAGGTGTAGTCCAGGGGTTTCATAGTCTCTCCTGTCTCTCCCTGAACCTGATGAAGTCGTCGCTGTCCCTGTAATGAAGTTAATGTCTCCACTGCTGGCTTTCTCAGGAATCACTGACATAGGAGAAGTTTCCCAGTTTCTGACTGAGGGAATCATCATGAAAGATTTTAGTCATCCCAATGTCCTCTCGCTTTTGGGAATCTGCCTTCGAAGCGAGGGGTCTCCACTGGTGGTCCTACCATACATGAAACACGGGGATCTTCGAAATTTCATTAGAAATGAGACTCATGTAAGTATATTGCCAAGCTTACTAACTCGTGAACTAGCTGTAAGCCAGCCAGCCTTCCAAAATGTGCTATTTTGAACCTTTTTAGAATTTTTAGCCAAAGAAACCCATGTGAAACGTTGACACTGTTCAAGTAGACTGAGGCCCATTCAGTTCTCTGGTTTCTCAAAATCCTCTGTCCTAGTGGGGATATAGTGATACATAGAAGGGGACAGTGATTCCTACCTGCCCCGCAGGCAGCCTTGCTCTGCCATCCCCCAGACAGGTACACATCGTTCAATGCCTACTCTGCACCACAAAAAGCACTGCAGGAGACGTAGAGCCAGAAAGAGCCTCAGCCCAAAGGGAGTTTTAACCTTAGAAGGAAATTCATTGAAAATTAATTATGAATGAATCTCCCTGTTCTTCAGAGTTGCTGCCCACTCTTCCACCTCAGGACATTTGCACTTCCTAGTCTCTGCACCTAGACTACTCTTCTCCAAAATATCCACATACCTCACTTGGTTATTAACTTCAGCTTTCTGCCCTAATGTCGTCTTCAAAATAAAGCTTCCCGGCTTGTGTAAAATTGCAGCTGACCACTACACTCTCACGCCTTCTTTCTTTCTCCTCTCCTCTGCTTTGCTGCTATCCGTCACGCCCTCATATGACACCCTAGGCTTGAATTGTCCAACACTGTGGCCATAAGCCGCACGTCAGATGTGACGAGTGTAAATTGAGATTTGCTGTAAGTATAGAATACATCCCAGGTTTTCAATATTTAGTATAAGAAAAGAAGGTAAAATATCTCATCAGTAATTGTTTATACTGATTACATGTTAAAATGATATTATTTTGGATATGTGGGTTGAAAAACATACAGTGAAAATAATTTTTGCTTGTTTCTTTTTAATTGCTTAATGTGACCACTAGAAAAATTTTAACTACATATGTGGCTTGTCTCATATTTCTATTGAACAGTACTCTACCAGGTAATAAATGATAGCTATGTATATGTATATATGTATGTATACACACACACACACACACACACACACACACACATCTTATTAGAGTACAAGCACATGAGGGTAGGTAATTTTGTGTGTATTTTGTTCACCACTGTAGCTCCAACACCTAAAATAGAGGTAAGTACATAGACTCTCAGGAGGTATCTGCTGAATGAATGAGTTCAGGGTTACAAAAGAGACTCTTAGCTGTTTCCAAATGACAGTTCTGTTAGTGACATATATGCTAGTTCCAAAAAGGCTGAGCAAGCAATGGCTAGACCAGGAGCAGGGAGGGAAGAAGCAGTCTCCAGAACTGAAGTCACAGATGGCCCCAGGCTGCTTTTTGGCTTGTGTGAACAGACCTCTTTAGAAGTTATGGAGTAGCTTTACTCTTGATCAAAAAAACTTCATAAACATGGGATCAGATTCTTAGAGAAATGAGCTCTAGGATAGTAAAGAAATATTTTGCATTCAGTCAAAAGAGAATACTCTCTAGCTCTGAATTCTTGCAAATAAGGTGAAGGTGAATTTACCTTACAGAGTACCATTGCCTTTATAGTCCAAGGAGTTTGTACTTATTACAACCACCAACAGATATATCTTAAAGAGAGGCCAAAAACACAGGAAATGGCCTCTCTACATGCTGGTTGCATTAAGGGGGGCTGTAGCCCTCCTTGCTGGGTCCCCACTGGCTGCCTCTTTAGCTCACAAATTCCGCTGTGGCTGCTGAAGAAGAGTTATCCTGTTCCTGATGACCAGGCACTGCGGTGATATCTGGGTGACTTCAGATACAGTTCTTAAAGTTACTAAAGCTATTATGCTGTCCATCCAAGTTTGTGTGTTGAACATATGGAGAAAGAGATCTCCTGTTTTCTGTGTGGGTTCAGGCCACTGTTGCTTCAGTACCAGTAGGAGGGCCTCTAATATGATTGATTTCACTACAGCATAAGCTTTGGAGTCTTAACAGATATAGGCTAAAATCCTAACTCCGCAACTCACCATCTGAGAGCTTTATAGTGATTTATTTCTCTCAAAGCTTCTTGTATTAACCATGTATTTCTGGAGACCTGCCAACCCTGGAAGGACTGCTTTCCCCACTTCCCACAGGACTGGCAAATTCCCAGAGGTATTAAACAGCTCACCTTCAGAGAGCATGTCTTTCATCACTAAGCCAACCACTCCAGAGCCCATACCCCAACAACCTCCTTTAAAAGGTGCCAACACCCTGGGCCACCATCTGCCTGCCCTCATCACTTCAAAACTGGGTACCAGACTCCTAGGGACAGTCCTCACACCACAGAGCACATTGAACTTATTCAAACCAGCCGATTCTAAGCTACTTCCCCTGCCTCACCCGTTCCTTCCCACAGAAATCACCATAAAGGCTCTTAATATGTTTTCCCCTTGTTCCCTCTGCCTCCTAACCAACCCCGGTGCTCCCTGTGTGGCCTTGCATGACATGCCATCCTCCTTCTCTTGGGAATTGTGAGTAACAGTCTTTTTGATGGCATTTGTTCCCATCTGCTGGCTGTACCATACCTGAATAATAATAAACTCCACATTTTAAAACAACTCCAGTTCCCCATCTGGAAAATGGACAGAAGTGAGGGTGTAAGGATTAGCCAAAATTTATAAAAAACCTCTAACATGGTATTTTGCAAATAACAGATACTAAGTAAATGATTATTATCAACAGGAAACAAGTTATTATTTGAAATAGGTAATTCTTTGTTGTTCATAAGAAATTGATAAGGTAATTTTATCAATATTTCAGAATTCTAAGACCATAGCTAGAACAGTAAATGCTTATTAGTTTATGGGTTTCCAATTCTCTTTGATTACAGAACCCAACTGTAAAAGATCTTATTGGCTTTGGTCTTCAAGTAGCCAAAGGCATGGAATATCTTGCAAGCAAAAAGTTTGTCCACAGAGACTTGGCTGCAAGAAACTGTATGTAAGTATAAGAATCTCTGTGCCTGCAGTCCAAATTAAGTGACAGAGAAGAATCTGTTTCCCACTCTTCAAGGCTAGTGAGGATGTTTTCTCTTCTCATGTAAAAGTCCTTTATTTTCGTCACAGTTCTAAATCGATATGTAAGCACTGGCTATGTAGGTGGAGCTTTCAGGCTTTATCAAACAGAATTTAAAAGGAATTCTCCAGAGGGAGGTCCTAAACAGCTGTTGTGTGATCTAGCTTTTCTTTTTCCTTCCCACCCATAGCCCCCAGTGTTGTGGTTTCACACTGCATTAGTGTTTGGAAGGGACAATTCAATCTGCAGCATTTTACAGTGAAATGGAGAGGGGCTGGTAACACAAATACCAACATATTGTAACTTCCCAAGAGTGGATTTGAAGTCAGCCTGCAGAAACCCTACCAAAAATGGTATTTGAGAATGAATATACAAAGAGGTTTATTTGTGTCTGGCTGCCTGGGCTGTATAATACAACAGTCAACAGTTTGTAATTGATTCAGTGCTTTCCCTTCCATAGCACTGATTCATGGCTTATGGTATGTGTGAATGAAAGCACTGTGCTATTAATTTCCTACCTTGGTTTTGGTCAATGTAACAACATAAAAGCCAGCTTAAACAAAGGATACATAGCTTGAGATAGAAGAATTGATTTTCCTGGAACCTTGCTGTTTTCCCAGATACTTTACTGTGTATCCTTTTTCTCTATTACCTCACTGGTGGAAAAGAGTTGTATGTACTAGCCTAGCCCTTTGAGAAAGAAAAAATAAAATAACAGTCCCCTGTCATATCTCTCCCATAAAACTAAGTATTGCTAATAAGTTGACAAGTGGTGATTACTGATTGCTTTGGGTAGTCAGTTGGCATACTCGATTTAGCAACCAAAGAAAGCTGGGAGGGTGGCCAATTTTACTACTTCTCCAGATCTACATTAAAGCAGAAAAGATTTTCTTATGCCACATCATTCACAATCTCTTTCCTTGGCCTGTTGAATTTGAAATGTAAATGTCAAGCATTTTTATTCAAGGATTCCATTGTGATTTAGCACTAGTCAATACAGGCCAGATGAAGCCCTTTTTGCAGAAGTTATGGATTTCAAATACTGAAGCTGCTTGTTCTAATCAATAGAGATTCAGAATCACTGTAAATTATTCTCTTTTAGCCACTGGTAATAATTTTTGTTTTTTCTGTAGGCTGGATGAAAAATTCACTGTCAAGGTTGCTGATTTTGGTCTTGCCAGAGACGTGTATGATAAGGAATACTATAGTGTACACAACAAAACAGGTGCAAAACTGCCAGTGAAATGGATGGCTTTAGAAAGCCTGCAGACTCAGAAATTTACCACCAAGTCAGATGTGGTAATGTATTCATCACCTCAAACTCTTCTTTACTTTCATATCCAACTTTTTTAGTAATTTTATGGGAACTTAATTTTTAAAAAAAAGAAATCTTCAACACCATAATTCCAGCTTTTTCTAATAAGTAAAAATGGGCTTAATTGTCTAACAGGTACCCATACTATGGCCTCATAAATTCATTCATTTATTCAAAAAATGTTTGAATAAACGTCCAGCAGAACAGCATGTTAGGTCCTTGGGAACCGGTGTAAGCCCTGCCCTCCAGGAACTTTGCTCAGCAGGAGAGGGAAGCCATGTTCATCACTAACTCACAAAGTAGACTGGGCTTAATCTAGCCACTCATAGCTCAAGGGCAGAAAAATTCTACCTAGAGAAACCTGGAAGCTGTCCCTGAGGCATATCTAGCAGTGAAGACGTTATCCCTTTGCCTAGCCCTCCTTTATCTGCAAAGGTCATCCTCCTCTCACAGAACAAGCATCTGAGGGCATGCAACAGAGCTCTGAAAGTGGGGAAGACACTCACCTGAGCAGCCAAATCTACCACACTGCCCTTTCACCTGGTGGAGAAGGTGATTCTTGAAATGGGCTTTAAAGTAAGGATGATGGAATGGAAAGTGAAATAAAAAATGCCAGTCCAGGTGACATAAAGGGGCAGGAAGGTATACACTTCTTTAAAGTCTAAGCAAACAATAAGCAGTGGTGATTTGGCAAAAATAGAAGGCACAGGGGGAAGTTATGAGAATAAATTGAGAAAAATATTTTCATCGTAGATCATAGAGATCCTTGGAAAGCAAACTAGGGAGTCTGGAATTTATTCTCTGGCCATGTGGAAACATTAAAATGTAATCAGATTACACTATAGCCTTTCTTCATTCTGCAAAATGTTTTGAGAGGAGTAGACACAGGAAGACAAAATGAGAGGTAGAATATGAAATAACATAGATACTATAAAAACAGAAAATACGGAAGAGAAGGCATCTCAGAGGTAGAAACAACAGTATTTAGCAAGAAACTGATGAAAGTCATAGCTGAGCGAAGTTATATACTGGTACAGTTACAATTATGTGAGATAGAGGCGCAAAAGCCAGTTTAAGAGGAAAAATATCAATCGTGCCTTGCACATGCTGAGGTTGACTTGGGAGTAGGACATACAGGCAAAGGTGTCTTTCATGCAACTGGAAGTGTGGATCTGTAGCTTGTACAAACACTGGTTGTCTTAATCAACTCGGGCTGCCATAACAAAATACCATACACTGGGTGACTTACACAGCAGACATTTACTTTTCACAGTTCTAGTGGCTGAAAGTGGGAAATGGAGATTCCAGTGTGGTCAAATTCAGGTGAGGCAAGCACGTGGTCACCTTCTCACTATGCCTTATGCTGGGGAGAGAGCAAGAGTAAGCTCTCTGGGTCTCTTCTTGTAAGGGCACTAATCCCATCCTCTTGACCTCATATAAACCTAACTTTCTCCCAAAGGCTCCCCCTCTAAATACCATCACACTGGGAGTTAGAGTTTCAACATGAATTTTGAAAAGGATGGTGCACAATTCAGTCCATAGCAGAGGTCAAGGCTGGAAATAGGCTTTTGAGACTCCAATACAATTATTTAGAGGAACCTACATACATGCCATAAAGGAGAAAAGCAGAGAGGTGGGAGACCCAGAGGAAGAGAAAGTGTCAAGAAGAAATGGGGTATGGTCAGCAGAGGCTCCTGATACTCAGAGCACAAGAAAGGTCTTGGAACCTGAATGATTTGGTCTAGAGTGTGCGGAGGAGCCTGGGTGTTGAATGGAATATTCTATTTGCCTTTCATAAATCAAGAGGACTATGATATGTGGAGGTAGGGAAACCGTAATGTCTCAGTCCTTGAGGATAACAGCCAAAAACAAGAAAAGTGTTAACTGGTGACATCAGCAAACAAGGTGGGAAGAAAATAGCATTAAGAGAAGACACAGATTGCAAAAGAGAAGGGATTGGCAGCTATTAAGAATATTACAGGGGATGGGGATCTGAGTACGGCTTTGGGAGGTGAGAAGTTGTCTACCCTCCTCCCTGTGAGTCAGCAAGAGAGAGAGGTGTGGCCTCTATTGGTAAGAGTTTTGAAGATGTTGTGGTCTTTAAGTGAAAGCAGAGTTTCAGTTCCTGAGGAAGTGGAGGAGTCATTAGAGGATAAGCTGAGGGTGACCGAGAGCCTGTTTTCAATGAACACATGTATCTCAGGACATGGTGGAGGAATGGGACTTCAGGGTGGAGAAGATTGGTAAGTGGATGTGATAGCTCATGCTAGAGCTTATTGCCTGGATTTTGATCCTGAAAGATTGTGAAAAAGATGAAATAAAAAGGTGCTAGAGAGATAGGCTGAGAAAACATTAGTGATGGTAACAGGTAAAGGCATCAGGTAAGGAGAATTAACCCATCCGGAAAGCATGTACATTTCATCTAGACTTGACAACTGCTTGGAAGGAGAACCAACTCTCAGAACTCAATAAGAAGGCAAAATAACCCATTTTTTAAAAATAGGCAGAAGATTTGAAAAGACGTTTTAGCAAGGAGATGTATGAATACCTAGCTAATAAGCACATTAAAACGTATGCCCACATAAAGACTTGCTCATGAATGCTCACTGTAGTGTTATTCATAATAGCCAAAAAACCAGGAGCAATTTTGATGTCCATCAACTGGCAAATGGGTATGTAAAGCGTGGTATGTCGATACAACAGAATAATGCTATTCAATAATGTGAAAGAACCACTGATGCATGCTACAATGTGGATAAACCTCAGAAACATTATGTCAGGTGAAAGAAGGCAGAGTCAAAATTATTACACATTGAGTAATTCCATTTTTGTGAAATTTCTAGAAAGGGGCAAAAAATTGAGACAGAAAACAGATCAGTGGTTGCCTGGGGCTGAGGGTGGAAGCAAAGATTGACTACCAACAGGCATGAGGGAAGTTTCTGGGATGTTGGAATTGATCTAAAACTGAATTGTGATGATAGCTGCACTACTATATAAATTTACTAAGCATCATTGACTATACACTTACAGTTGGCAAATTTTATGACATATAAATCATACCTCAGCAAAGTTATTAAGACAAGTTTGATGAAATTTTGGATGCTCAAGGCAAGAGTTGGGATTCTGAGCTTTTTGATAGTCCTGTACCACTCACCTCTATCTCCACAAAAATACACATGCACAGCGAGGAGTTTAGCACTTCTTATAAAGCAACTGTCACTGAGCAACTTAGGAAATTTACACAGGCTTTTGTAGATTCAAAGTGCTATGTCTTTCCCCCTCATTGAAAGACTCTATACTGTACTATATAAAGGGTGAACCTGAGTAATCCATACCATGCTGCTTCAACAAATAGTTATTGATTGGATGGTTATTGATGGTTATTGATGGATTTATAAATTTGCATAAAGTTTTCATTTCTAGAACAGCACAATCTTTTGAATGTTGACATGGAACATACCCAGGCACCTATAATAAACCTTTATGTTGTTTATGTTTTGTATTATGTTGAGACCTACAGACAAAAACTTGCCTGTTTGTAGGAAGGTCTACTTTCTCGCAAATGCCCAGAAGCAGTTCAGCTAAAATCTGAATACTCTTGAAACCCTTTCCAACAACTGAAGTATCTTCTATACATGCAGTTACTCATATCCAGTATTGTATAGTGTTTGTGCTTAGTACAAGTGCTTTCACTAAAGTCAGTACTGACTTCTCCTTTGTTCAGCCAACTGGCTTTCTTATCCTGCTTCATCATTCTGCTGCATTTAGTATCTTCAGCTGTCCTTCTCTTCTTGAAATTTCCTTCCCCTGTGTTTTCAGGGCCACTCTACCATCCTGTTTTCCTCCTGCTTTTAGACTGTGTTTTCTTTACCTTGACAGCTTCTCTTTCTTTCACAGCCTACATGCAGCTGTCCACCAGGATTTTGGTCTTAAGGTGTCAGCCTCTCTCAACAGTTTCAACCATTCCCATCAACAGTCGCCTTTGCCTCTCTCTTACTAGATGTTTTCATCAGCAACACAAATCTACTGTGTCCAGAGTCAGGTTCTTTCCTGCCAACTGTCGATGCCTCACTTCTTTATTTCTAATGGTATCACCATTGTGCAATATACCAACTCTTCATCCTTTCTATTGTGCAGTTCTTTAGGTTTTAAAGATTGCATCAGTTGTATGACCCCAACCACCACAACCAGGATATGAAACAGTTCCATCATCCCAGAAAATTTCCTTACACCTCTTGGTGGTGTAACCTGTGCTAACCCCTAAAACCTGGAAACCACTGGTCCTTTTTCTGTCTGTAATTTTACTTTTTCTAGAATGTCCTATAAAAGGAATCATACAGTAAATAGCCTTTGAGTCTTTCTCCTTCACATAGCATAATACATTTGAGAGGATCAATAGTATCAATGTATCCATAGTTATTCTTTTTTTATTATGATAAAAAACATAAAGTTGACTATCTTAACATTTTAAGGGTATTGTACAGTACAGTTGACTATGTGCACAGTGCTATGCAACTGATTTCTAGAACTTGCAAAACTGAAACTCTATATCCACTGAACAACTCCCCATTTCTCCCTCCCCCAGCATCTCTGGCAACTGCCATTCTACTTTCTAAGAGTTTGACTACTTTAGATACCTCATTATAAGTGAAATCATGTAGTATTTGTCTGTTTGTAACTGGTTTATTTCATATAAGTAGTCTTGCTGGATCATATGTATTCTGTTTTCTAGTGTTTTTTAAATTGGGTAATTTTTTATTTTATTGTTAAGAGTTCATTATGTATTCTGGTTATAGGTACATGTTATCAGATATGTGTTCTTATAAATAATACTTTTTAGTCTGTGGCTTGCGTTTTTAGTTGTATCTTTCAAAGAGCAGAAGTTTTCAGTTTTATTGAAAAGATTATCAACCTACCAGTTGCTAAATTTTATCAGTTAATCCATCTTTAAATCAGTTATGCTTTTTTATAAAGGTATTATATCTCAGTTTACTTTTTTAATTTATTTTCTTATTGAAGGATAGTTGCTTTTTTGAATGCTCAAATTTGGCTGTATCTATTCTTTGATTGCTGCAGCAATGTGCCTATCACTTTTTATAGCTTATAACAATCTCTTACCTCTAATAACTGCTTTCAGCTTCATCTTTGGTAAAATTAGGCAGAGATTCTTCAGATGAGCTCACTGCTGGTGCTCAGATATTCAGAAAGCCTTGATCATTCACACAATAAGCATGAATGACTGTGCTCTCCTGTCTTGAAACTAAAATTGACTTGCTTCCATCATTTTTAATGGACAGGCATCGTACACCTCCCCCACCCCTTTGTCTCTCTCTCTCCTTCTCTATCCCTCCCTCCCATGCCCCACCCCCAGCCTCTCTCTTCTTGGTCAGTATCATTCTCTTCCTTCACTTCCCCACCCCCTACCATCCAGTCAGTCCAAGCTGTTAAGGGGAGTTTGGAATGCAGACTGTTCACGAAACTGCCTCCTTCTCACCTCTTCTGTCCCGTGATTTCTCCAACCCTCCTCTGATACCAGTTGTCTAAATCCTACAATTCCTTGGGGTTCCCTGGTGGTTCAGCTGGTAAAGAATCCACCTGCAATGTGGGAGACCTGGGTTCAATCCCTGGGTTGGGAAGATCGCCTAGAGAAGGGAAAGGCTACCCACTCCAGTATTCTGGCCTGGAGAATTCCATGGACTGTATAGTCCATAGGGTCCCAAAGAGTCGGACATGACTGAGCAAATTTCACTATAATTCCTTACAGGACTAAATTTATCCAACTCTTGCCCCTTATTTTTGCAAATTTGCCTCCAGACCTCCTATAACCTAGGGTGTCAGTTAGGGAGACCTGATCACACACTAGTAATCAGCCTCTCAGAACTTCAGTTCCTCATTCTTGAAACATCTACAAAACTGAAATACATTACAGACTTGTTATAAGGATTAAATAAGACAATCTTTTTTTAAAGGGCGTGATGCCCACCCATGTCAAGCTCATTTAATGACACATGCTCTCTCCCACCCCTCTAATTTGGGAGAGTGAATTAGAGGGTTCACTCTCCCGGCAGAGTTCAGTCTCTCCCGGGAGAGACAGAGTTCAGTCTCATAAGGTTCCATGTTGCCAGTATTCAGTAGCAGCCCTCACCTGCTCCGTTCAAAAGTGTCCTAACTGGTCTCCGTATTGTGGATGAGCTTCCCCTGTTTGTTTAAAGCAGTGTTTACAGATACAATCTCCTGGAGCTCAACCCCAGTCACGTCCCATTGATTTCAGTTTAACCCATGATTAACATTCAAAAACACGATCCCCTTTCAACCCTTCTGTCCTTCATCCCTTCATCTGCTCCACACATCAAGCAGAGTGACCTGTTGTCCTTATGGTTCAAAAATCAAAAAAACACGTTTGAGTGTCTTACCCTTTACCCTTGGGCCCACTGCCTTCATCCAGAATACTCTTTCTGCCCTCACAATACATGTATCTACAGAACAAACTCTCATTGTTCCTCAGGACCCACTATACTGTCACTTTCTTCCTGAAGCATCTCTTAGTTACCCCACTGTTATCCCTTTGCCTTTTCACAACATCTGTGCCTCTTTACTATAATTGCTCTGTATTGCAGTTATTAGATCTTATTGTTCTACGTGACAGTTAATTGCATAACTAATTGCATAATTCTCTTAACCCTGTTAAATCAGCCTCAGGGCCTGTCCAATAACTTGGACAGTAACCTACCTGTGCATCATCAAAGGTTAGTGTATGCTAAGTCACGTTCGTCATGTCCAACTCTTCGTGACCCTATGGACTGTAGCCTACCAGGCTCCTCTGTCCATGGGATTCTCCAGGCAAGAATACTGGAGTGGGTTGCCATTTCCTTCTCCAGGGGATCTTACCAACCCAGGGATTGAACCTGCCTCTGTCTTCTGCATCAGCAGGCCAGTTCTTTACCGCTAGCACCATGTGGGAAGCCCTCAAGGGTCAATAGATACTTATTAAATTGATTTAAATTCTAATGCAAGTTCTGGGACTTAACATAGTGGTGTCATCAGAAGTGACTCAGAAGGTTTTGAGGCCTTTGAAAACTTTGAAAGGCTGCAGAAGACAGCAGATTTATCTAGTACCCTGCCCCACCTCCCCCAACCCACCCATCCAAGGAGTTTATTTTCTCTATTTGGATCAAGGAAGTCAGTGGCCTTAAAGCATTCTTGAACTTGGGCAAAAGGAAAAAGTCATTCATGGAGATTTGTATCAGCAACTACAATGTCTACCTGCTTGCTTCCTTTCAGAAACACATGCTTTAGTCTCCTTGCCGAGTTATGAGCTACACTTGCATCTCAGTTTTATGTTTTCCTGTTCTTCATGTCTCAGCTGTATTCTCTTTCCCCTCCAAGCTTCCATTTCCTCAGGGCCTCATTTCTGCCCCTACGCGCTGCTGTGTGCAAGTGTCTTGGAAGTGGCGTGAGAGAACTGATTTCCTGGGTCCTCTGCCCAGGGGGTGACCCGCACATGTTGACTTACTCTCACTGTGTAATCCTCACCTCGGCACATGTCCAGGGTGAGATAACATGCATGACCCGATCTATTCCAAGGAGAGTGCTCTAAATCAAGAAACTGCATATTTAGAGAAGTTTAGTAGACCAAGCGAAACCCAAGAGTCATGAACTCTGAAATGTTTATCCCTATGTGAATTCAGATTTATTGAGGAATTTTTAGCAAATCAGTCAACCTCTCTGTGTCCTTGTGATCATCCTATAAAGTATGTTACAGCTGTTTTATATTAATTTCCTCCTTTAACATTTTCAAAATATAGTTATTTTATTGAAATTCATTTTCATTCAAGAGCCTTGATGCTGAGCAGTCTTATTACTTCTGATTTTTAATATAGATTTTTACTTTTACTGACTTAGACCTTTTAACGTTAACTTTTAGATATGGTTACATTTCTTAAGAAGTGTTTCCATTCATTTGGAAATCCCACAGATTTAAATTTTGGAAGCCTTGTCTTCTTTTTTTTTACTAATAGTCTAAAATTGTAATGAAGCCATTGAATAAAGAAGGATAGAAACATGTTAATGCTTTGACTCTATAGGAAAGAACTTGGAAAATGCACTGTGCTAACTAATGATGAAATTGTAATCATCATGTGGACTCCAGGCATCCTTTTTGAAAACTTTACATTTAATTGTAATCTAAATTTTAATTCTGTTTTAAACAAGTCATAAACTTATAGGATACTAATTGTCTTCAAGGAAATCTTTGCCTAAAACAGCAATAGTATTGAATACTAAACCAAGTTTTGTTATGAAGACGTACTGATCACCTTTCATATTTGTGTGGCCACTGTCCCCTCACCTGGATTCTCCCTTCCCTTATTTGACCAGTGGTCCTTCGGCGTGCTCCTCTGGGAACTGATGACAAGAGGAGCACCACCTTATCCTGACGTCAACACCTTTGACATAACAGTTTATTTGTTGCAAGGAAGAAGGCTCCTACAACCTGAATACTGCCCAGATCCCTTGTAAGTGAGAATCCCAGCAGCATCTTCTGTAGCTCTTATGTTCTTTACTTTTGCAGAAGTACTTGCCTTCAGAGTCCTCACAGCATTGCGTCCTTTCTGAAACAGGTACGAAGTGATGCTGAAATGCTGGCACCCTAAAGCTGAGCTGCGCCCATCCTTTTCTGAACTGGTCTCCAGGATATCCGCGATATTCTCTACTTTCATTGGGGAGCACTATGTTCATGTGAATGCTACTTACGTGAACGTCAAATGTGTCGCTCCGTATCCTTCTCTGTTGTCATCACAAGATAATGTCAATGGCGAGGGGGACACATGATGGATGGAGGCACCTGTGCCATCGAGTCCCCTTCTGAGAAACCTCACTGAACTGCCTGAACAACAGTCCACCCTTTGTCCAACATTCTTTTCACTGCCGGGCCACTGAAAGGCCACCAGGTATTTTTTGCTTTTGCCAAGATTGCACTATTATAGGACCTTATATTGTTATTAAAATGACTGGATTCTACAGAATTTCTCATCTGACAAAGCATCAGAGCAAGCAGCTTGGTCTCGCAGACCAGTGACCAACAGCAATCCTGCAGCTGTGATAATGCTTCTGTCACATTCAGGCCAAAACCCAAATGCTGGGTTGAAATTTTTAAAAATCAAGATCCCAGTTGATTTCATATGGGGAACTGAAGCAATGCATTTTGAGGGCTTCTTAATGACAGAAAATTCAAAAGAAATGGTAATGTCCCAGTAGGGCATGGCAGCCCTGGGACCAAGCCACTCATTTAGAATTAAAATGTTTCAAAGAAATTATGCGTTGTATGAAAAACACATTTTTTTATTACCGATGTTGTCATTTGCCTGTTAGGTAAACATTCTCTTTTAAATTTTTGTCTACACATTCCTTTTATTAGAGAACTATCCATAGACAATACAGTCAACATTTCAAAACAACAGGACTTGAAATATGTTTATAAACTTATGGGAATATTTACATATTGTACATAAACGACATTAAGGTTTTCATAAGATAGCTTAGTCGCAGTGAAATATTTGCCAGTTAAAAATCAACTGTTTAAGAATGATACTTTTCTAATCTGGATGTGGACATTTAGAAGTCTTTTTTTTTTTAATGACAACTCTGAAAATAAAACAATTTGTGATGACAGTTGTTTTTAAAGGTAACTCAGCATGTTTTTAAAGCGGAATACCTCTGACTAAAAGCATTATTGGTTCCAATCATGGCTCATATGTAGAGCCTTGGAAAGAATCAATGGACTGGAAATATCAGCCTCTTTGTCAGGTGGCAGCTTTCCACCCCACAAACAATTGGAAACAATCAAATCAGGGGGAAGCCAGTTTTGTATTAGAACATTTTGTGTTATTAAGCAAAACATATTTTAGGGAAAAAAATATGTTGATTGAAAGTTCTGACCATTTCGCCTGGATGAACAGTTACTCTAGTCAGGACTTTTGTGATGTTTTGTTCTGTGGGATTTTGTGCTTACTACTGTATAATGCATGTGGCACAGGATACTCAAACTGATTTTGTTGATGTAAACATTTAAAGTATTATATTTTTATAAAAAGGTTTATTTTTAATGATGTGAGAAAACTTTTGTTAGGCCACAAAAATACTGCACTGTGAACATTTCAGAAAAGGTATGTCGAACTTGGATTAATAACAGCATGGTTTTAAATGGCTGTGAATAAGTGATAAGGAAATGTACTGACTGCCAGAACTCCCCACCCTCATTACATCACCAGGACTTGAAGCCAAGGGTTAACACAGCAAGTTATAAAGAGGGTGTGTTTATAGTAGAGTTGAGCTAAAACCCAATAGTAGAGTTAAGCTCTTCTTGTGAGACAGTGATTACAACTGAAAGTTCTTTGACAGTGGTGGAACTTACCAGAAGACCCAAGGAATTGTACTGCAGAGATATTCCATTCAAATATTATTTCAGAAGTATATAGAATGATACTAATTACAGAATATTGTACATAATGGATAAGGAAGAAAAAAATCTGCTCTGCAGAAAAAAACTGTTTCTACTAATGTCAGGATAATGAATACATCAAGAATAGAGCTTATGGAAACAACTCATCAACAAGACTCCACACCTGTATATATGCTTGAAAAAGCTACAATGTGAAAGTCATGTTTGCTATTTATAAATGTTTCCTTAGGTTAATATGTCTGGACAGACTGTGGGAGTTAAGTGATTCTTCGAAGAACTAGATACTTGTCACTGCCTATACCTGCAGTTGAGCTGAATGGTACTTTGTATGTTAATAGTTGTTGTTCTGATAAATCATACAATTAAAGTGATGTATCATCTTGTATACTGAAAGTTGGTTATTGTTAGTCATGCTTGATTACCTGCTCATTTACATAAGGACAGGGGAAACCTAAGATTGATTTCAGCTGGCTACATCAAGTCATCCATTAGAAGAGTGTTGTTAGTCAAGTTGATGCATCCGTACCTAAAAGAATTTGCATCCATGAGTTTCAGGAAGTCTCTGCCTTTCTAAACAGTGTTTCCCCTGACCTGCTGCATTACCTAGCATTTCCGTAACAGTCTTTGAGTTGCCAGAGCAGCTGGCCCCTACTTCAGCTTGATGCTTTTCTCCAACAAGGTGCATCCTTATACCAGAAGATATGACAATGGAACTGCAACCTGCAGTTGGCACAGAAATACCCAGTTGGGTGTTGGAGGAGAGAGAACTTCTTACCCCCTGTAAAACCTCACTTTTCATCGTGGGTTCCCACTCTTCAGGTGTCGCCAGGGACTAGCGAAGCTATCTTCAGGTTATATATCCATGAGTATTGTTGTAATGGTAAAGGAATTCAGAGGTGAAATTTCAGTCATCTGAGTCTTGGGGCAATCTGATTTTTTTTTTTAAAAAAGGTCCAAGTTTAAACCAATGCCTACAAAGTGTGCTGGGGGCTGATTCTTTAGTGAGAGAATTTAATGCCCATACCCAGTCAGACTCCTTCTCTGCCAAGAGATGCATTTCCATAGGATGTTGTCAGACCGCATACCCCCAAAAGAGAACTTGTCATCCTTCCATCCCAAGTATCTGGCACTTAGCAGATCTTCAAACAATTGCTCAACTGAAACAGGATTTTCTTGTCCTCAGTCAGTCACTTTAAGCCACCACAGATAACAGAGTTGTGTGTGCAACTCCCATGATATTTGGTGAATCACCGACATGGGGGTTGGAAGGGAATCTTTCTAGGGAGAGAGGGATAAAAAGATATACCTTTGCAGAGTTTTTCTGGGTGCTCTGAATTTTTAATTATCACAAGATTTTTTTATTCCACAGTGTAGGCATCAATTATGTTTTTGCTCTCTGACCTACACAAGAGATTGCCTCCTTAGAGAAATATGTTGAAGAGATAGAAAACCTGTACAAGCACATTAAATGTTTAATTGCTGACATCTTGCTTTGTTAATTTACCCAGTTTAGTTAAGGAAAAAAAGTAACATGTAAAATAAATTAATTTTTAATTCATTTAAATATTTAGTGAACCTCTACATATGTCAGGTATTATACTAGGTAATGGGAATACAAATAAACACTCTCCCACCTCAAGAAATTTAATCAAAGAGACAATATTACACAGTTAGTGAATATTAGAATTGCATTTTCTTAGATCTGTAAACCATTTTGAAGAGGCTTCATAGTCTATAACTGGGAGTTTGTAGCTTTTGACCCTTGGCCTATTTCTTGCACCATCTTATCCCCTCTGGCTATCACCAATCTGTTTTCTGTATCTATGAGCATTTTTTGTGGGGACCTTGTGATTTGATTTGATGTGTTTTGATGGTTTGTTCCTTTTAGATTCCACATATAAGTGAGATCAGATGGTCTTTCAGTGTCTGACTTATTTTACTTAGCACAATGTCATCAAGGTCCATACAGGTTGTAGCAAATGGCAAGATTTCCTTCTTTTTATGGCTAAATTTTATATGGGCTTCCCTGGTGACTCAAATGGTAAAGAATCTGCCTGCAATGCAGGAGACCCAGGTTCAATCCCTGGGTCTCGAAGATTCCCTGGAGAAGGAAATGGCAACCCACTCCAGTATTCTTGCCTGGAGAATTCCATGAACAGAGGAGCCTGGCAGGCTACAGTTCATAAGTCACAAAGCATCAAACATGACTGAGTGACTAACATGTAAGACTATATATATATATATATATATACACACACACACACATATATATATAAAATTTTCTTTGTCCATTCATCACACCAAGACATAGTTAGATTGTTTCCATGTCTTGGCTATTATAAGTAATGCTGCAGTGAACATGAGAGTGCATATATCTTTTTTGAATTAGAATTTTTGTTTTCTTCAAATAATTGCCCGAAAGTGGAGTTGTTGGATTGTATGCAACTTTTATCTTTTTAATTTTTTTTAAGAACTCCCATACTATTCTCCATAGTGGCTGCATCAATTTACATTCCCAGTAGGGCACAAGGGTTCCTTGTTCTCCACATCCTCATCAGCATTTGTTTTCTCTTGCCTTTTCCCCCTCTTGTCTTTTTGATAAATAGCCATCCTAACAGGTGTGAGCTGACATGTCATTGGGATTTTGATTTGCATTTCCCTAATGATTGGTGATGTTGAGCATATTTTCATGTACGTGTTGACCATCTATATATCATCTTTGGAAAAATGTCTATTCAGATATTCTGCCTAATTTTTAATTGGATTGTTATTTTGCTGAGTTGTGTGAGTTCTTTATATATTTTGGATTTGCAGATATTTTCCCGCATTCAGTAGTTTGACTTTCCCTTTTGTTGATGGTGTCCTTTGCTGTGCAGGAACTTTTAAATTTTATATAGTCCCACTTGTTTATTTTTGCTTCTGTTGCCTTCGCTTTTGGTGTCAGACTCAAACAGTTATTGCCAAGATTTACATCAAGGAGCTTACTACCTTTGTTTTCTTATAGGAGTTTTATGTTTTCAGGTCTTACATTCAAGTCTTTAATCCATTTTGAGTTGATTTTTGTGAATGGTCTAACATAGTGGTCCAGTTTCATTATTTTGTATATGTCTGTCCAATTTTCCCAACACCATTTATTGAGAAGATTGTCCCTTCTCCATGAATATTCTGGTGTCTTTGTTGAAAATTAACCAACCACGTATGTGTGGGTTTACTTCTGGGATTTCTTGTTCAGTTCCATTGATCTATGTGTCTAGTTTTAATGCCAATACCATATTGCTTTGATTACTATAGCTTTGTAAAACAGTTTGAAATCAGGGAGGGCATCACAGATTAAACATACCAAGTGAAGCTTCTTCGTAAAGCAAAAAGA